ACTTTAAAGAAAACTAAATTACTAATATAGTATAATTATAATTTAAGGAATCTTATGATGAATATGTAATCTATAAAGAATAATAAATCAAATATTAGATTGCTTATAATAAAAATAAAAATCAAACTACTTTTAAAATTTTGATTTATTTATTTTTAGATATAGAAAATAAATTATTTAATCTATTTACTAAATTCTATAACAGAGAAACAAATAAAATGTTTTTTCAATAATCATTTATTGAATGAAAGAATTAGTGCATTTTAAATGTATAAATAATATTCTATAAAAATTAATTAACATCATATAATCATAAATGATAACTTAATCGTTATAAAGGTTGAGATAAATTTTTGAGTTCTATTTGTATTTATTTTGTCAGTATTAAATTTTATTTGAGATAAGGGGTATTTTAATGATTCATTGATCGACTACTTAATTGAAGACCGATTTTATTTTCAAAAGGATTTGTTATACATCTGCTAATTTTATTGATAGGGAGTGTTGGAATTAACCCTGAAATTCTATGATTGGCAATTATGGAAGAAGATTGTTGAGTTGTTGTTTAGAGATTATGAGGGAGAGTTTTAATACCATTTGTTAACACTTTTAATTATTCAGATTTTCCAGTTAAAAATTAAATCATCTTAAAATCTTAATTTTTGAAGTATTTTTCTTTTTCTAATTCTAATTATGTTTTATGAATTGATTTAATTATAATTTATTTAGGAGGAGGAGTTTTACATGAAGGGGGTCTTTCCATGTTATCATATTCTAAAGTTAATAGGGATAACTACCAACAATTGTATCCTATTTAGTTAGTCTCCTTAATAAACTAGGCTTTCTTGTAGTTCTTTTTTATTTTTTTCTTTCTAATATACCAGCAAAACTTGTCAAAGCAAACCTTTAACCATCAATTTAACGATGTTGTTAAATTACAATTGGTAGATTTTAAAATTATTTTGCTGTCATTTCACCAAATATATCTCCATATGCTGATTTTCTTCTTGGTTAATCTTATTATCTCATCAAAGCTATTTTTTCAATTACATTCTTCAATGGTTTTAAATTTATAATTTTCTTGCTTTAGATTTACTTTTCTGTTGGGATTTAATTGAAATTATAGTCATCTGTTTAACTCTTTAATAAGCGAAAACAATGTATTAATGAATTTTTCTTCTCTTTTTTTCTCTTTAATTTTAATACTTAGCATTTTTTATATTTTGCAGTTGTACTCTATTACAAAACCAAATGACTCACTCTTCTGCCATTATAAGGGAATTAAGGATAGTCACTTTGTTCTATTTATTTAAGAATTTATACATGGGATATTGAGCATGAAATAAATAATATTAATTATAATAATTTAATATCAACCTTTACGCTTACTTAGTCTCCATGCATTAGCATCTCCAAATTTGCAACTTAATGGATCGAGTTTCTCTGATTTCTTTGTTTTTGAAAGTTATCCCATTTGATTGTGAGCCTTGAAATAATTTTCAGCCACCTCAATAAGCCATCTAGGTTCTAAAAGAATGTTATTATTATTATAATATACCTATTTCACATACTTCTCTCATATATTCTTTTGATGTCATGACTAACTCATGATAAACACACCATAAAGGTCCTTTGTTAAACAATGCACTACTAGGATGTATATAAACTTATTGATTATCAGATAGAGTCTTATAACCTTCAGCTTAATCCTAAAATTAAGAATATATAATACTTTTTTAGCAACATGAAAGAAATAACCTGCTGTTATAGCTTTTCTAATTTTCCAAAAGTCTTTACCACAAGAAGTAATTTAGAATTTGTATCTTTCCATAATTTATAATAATTATTTTCTAACATCTTAAGCTCTCCTCATAGATCTTGCTTAGATATAATTCTCATGACACCAAACATTACTAAAATTGTTTTTCTTCCAATGCTCATAAACTGTTAACAATGTCAAATGATCACCTTCTGGTCTATGAAATCTGGCCTTTTTCTAATCTGCTAATTATTATCTATCTTTAGGTCTATAAAAGATATTAGGTTCTGACAACATTGCAATAATTGTAATGATTTCATCTACACATCCCAAATCAACTGCAGTCAATAACATTTTAGCTTAAGGTGGTTCCAAAGGGAATTCAGCCATCTTCCTACCTACCTTTGTTAACAATCCTTCATCATCTAAAGCTCCTAATGCATATAATTATTCCATAGCTGCAATCATTGTTTATACAGGTGGAGGATCCATAAAGTCAAAATTCAAAAGATCATGTATTCCCATAGCTTTTAATAATAAAATAGTATTTGCTAAGTTAGTTCTCTATATTTCTGGTACTGAAGTAGGTAACATTTCTGTATTAAAAGCTTATTCAGTATACAATCTATAACATTTTCCTGGTCCTGTTCTTCCTGCTCTACCAGCTCTTTATTAAGCAGATGCCTAACTTATTGGAGCAATAATTAATGAATCCATACCCAATTTAGGATTATATACCTTGATTTTAGAGAATCCTGGATCAACAACATAATAAATTCCATCAATAGTGATTGATGCTTCAGCAATATTTGTAGCTATAACAATTTTTCTAGCTCCTGTAGGGGCAGGATCAAAAATCTTTTATTGTAATTCTGTAGGTAAAGCAGAATAAACTGGTAAAATAATCAATTCAGGAGCATCTGGACCTAATTTCTTCATTCTCTCATGAAGCACTTAACATGCTGTATCTATTTCTTCTTATCCTGTTAAAAATAAAAGGATATCACCAGCTGGTTCTTCTAAATGAATTTATATCACGCATAATTAAGCAGCTTCTAAATAGTCTTCTTCAGGTTCATTTGTGAAAAACACTTCAACAGGAAAATTACGTCCTGGAATTCTAAATATTTTACAGTTAAAAAAATAAGATGAAAACTTTTCAGCATCCAAAGTGGCTGATGTTACAATTAATGTGAAATCATTTCTTTTAGCAACTACTTATTTTAATAATCCAAATAAAACATCAGTATTTATAGTTCTTTCATGTGCCTCATCTAACATTATAACACTATATTGACTCATATCTTTATCTATTAATGCTTCTCTTAATAACATTCCATCTGTCATATATTTAATTATTGTATTAGGACCAGTGCAATCTTCAAATCTAATAGCATAACCAACTTCATCTCCTAGTTATATTCCCATTTCTTCAGCCACTCTTTTTGCAACAGACATTGCTGCAACTCTTCTAGGTTAAGTGCAACCAATTTTCATTCCATTTCTACCATATCCAGCTTCCATTAAATATTATGTAATCTAAGTTGTTTTTCCACTACCTGTTTCTCCTATTACTATTAGAATTCGATTCTCTTTTATAGCTGCTAATAATTCATTCTTAAAATTATAAATTGGTAAAGATTCTCTCCATTCTTTAATACTCATATGTGTTCTATTCCTTACACTTGATTTGAACATGGCTTCTTTTTTCCATTCAGGAATTTCTACTTACATTTAATTCATATTCCCTGAAATCTAAGCTAAAGGATCCTCTCTATATTTATCTCTATTTTATTCATTTATTGCTCTTTATTATTATTCTCTCATTTCTCTTCTTTCTCTTGCTAATTACTAAGCATGTAAGGCTTCTCTTTATAAAGTACCTTCTGGATTTTTAACAACTCTTATTGGTGATAAATTTATTCCTGCTTTAGTTGTTTATCCTTTTAAAAATGGAGGTTCATAATCATTCATATCTATTTCTAAATCTTCTGAATCTGACACAAAACCTTCTGATTCTGAATCTTCTACAATAGCTTTATTGTCTATTTAACGAACTAATTTAGAATTATATTCCAATCTAGTCTTTTCCCATAAATCTGGAGATGCTATTCTTTTTGCTTTCTTTTTACAAGCATCTTATGCCACATCTAATTTTACACCTGTTATTGCTCCATATCTATTATTATCCTTACTCTACTCCTATTATTTTATCACTTGATCATATTCATTCATTGCCTTAGCTTTCTTTTCTATCTCCTAACCAGTATTTTAATCCACATCTCTCATTGACAATGCAATCTTTTCATTCACAATACTAATCACCTTCACAAACACTTTCTAATTCCTTTTCAAAATATCAAAAGGATTTGTCACTCTTTTTTCTCTTATATTCGATATATGGACTAAACCTTCCTTTCTACCTTTAAAACCTGCTATTTAAACAAAAACTCCAAAATCCTGCACCTTTGTTACTACACCCTCATATATATGTCCTTTCTCTATATCTCTATGAGTTCTCTATGGTGATGGAGATGATTCTTTCTTATCTTTTTTCTCCTTCTCTTTTTCTTTTTCTTTTTCTCTCTCTTTATCTTTATCTTTATCCTTATTTTTATCCTTCTTGTTTTTCTTATCCTTCTTTTTCTTCTTATTTTTTGATAATGATCTTGATCGTGATTACTCTTCCATATCCTCTAATTAAACTACTTCACGATTTGGTAATGCCAATCCGGGAAATTTCTATTCTTTCACTACCTATTCTATTTATGGTGGCTGTTCAACTTACTTTTTTTCTTAAGGAGACATCTTCTTAATGATATTAAATAAAGAATTTGTAAATTGATCTGTAAAATCAGCTTTTGCAGCATCTAATTTTTATTTAAATTCCTTTTCATCTTTACTTTATCTACCTAAATCTATAATATATTCAGCCAACACCTTATCCTTTATTCCTGTATGATTCTCTAATTCTTACAGCACTCTTGAACATAATGATATGTATTATAATTGTAGCAACTAATTCATTACTATAATTAATTTCTACTTTAATATTAATATTCATAAATTATAATTAAATATTCAACAACAACATTTCTCACTAAATTTACTCTATAATTCTTATATATAAACCAATTTGATTTAAAAATAGACCTTATATGTTTTTTAAATATTTATATTGCCTTCTCAACTTATATTAAATTTTACATTAATTAGTTAATTTTTTGAATTATTTCACCAAATGAAACTTGATAAAAAAAAGTAATAGCCATAGTAAAACCCAAAAAACAATACAAAAAGTTCAAAATAATAAGTTATTTAAAAACTCCCAGATGATATGGTATGAATCAAATTTGAAATTAGGAATCTGAAATCAGAGATTGTTTTAATTTTTATGATCCTTAAAGATCAGGTTATATTAATCGATAAAACTTAAGATCAATTCTAGGTAATTTTGCTTTTATCAATAAAACTGTAAAAGATATAGAGGAGGAAATTCATGATGTAGTTGATGAGTATAATTTTATTTTATTTGAATTATAGGTAAAGAGATAGTTTTTCATTGAAGGATGTTATAAATTTAATTTAAAGAAGATGGTTTGAAAATAAAGGCAGAGATGAAGAGATAGATGAAATCTATGAATTATTTGTTAAAAAGTAAAATAATTATTTATTATGTAGAGATCGTAAAATTGGTTTGTCTGAAATTAAAAATGTCTTTGCTTAATATCTTGATATTTAAATTAGTGATTCAGATATACTTGAATTTATATAAGATGCAAGCAAGGGTAAAGATGCTATGACTAAAGATGATTTAGCATCTAAAATGAATTATATTTGAATTTTTGTTACTATTTTAATTTTAATATATAATATTTGTACTTGAATTAAGAACTCAAAAAAATAATGATATTTTTTAGACTTCTTTAGTATAAATATATTAATCTTTATTAAATTTTAATTGATTGCTCATGAATTATAAAGATGCAGACCCTGAAGGAAGTGTATGTTCTCAACCAACTGCAAGTTAAACAGGTGAAAACTTTCATTAAAAGAAAGTAACTTTTGCCAGGTCAAAACATGTTACTAAATGTTCAAATTGCTAATTATAAGATGTATAATTAAAAAAGATGGCAGAATAAATTTAAAATATAGAAGAATAACTTATTAGTTTTTAATAACAAATTGACGAGAAGAATTAATAAAATAAAAAACAAAAATAAAAATAAGAGGAGTTGCTCATAGAATTGCAAATAATTAGTGAAAAGCATCACTAAGAATTAATTAATAATGGAATTTTATAGAAACAAAATATAGAATTAAGAAAGGAAATCTTGAAATTAGAATAGGATATATCCAAGGTTGAATGCTAAAATTTAGAACCGTATATCTTAATTATTAATTATTAGCATAAAGAGAACTTCTGAATAGAAATTTATTGAATCTCTAATTTAAATGTTTATGAGCTTTCATCAAAAAGTTTAATTCCCAACAAAACCTTAATTAAAATAGGTTTGGAAATGGTTGAAATAGATTGTTTCAGAATATGCAATTCTCAAATAAAAAGAATTATTACTTCATAAATGATATTTATAATAGGCTTTAAAGTAAATTAAATAAAGATTTATCATTTAATAAATACATAGTCTATATTCAAAAATTAATTCTCATCATAACTTCTTTTTTAATCTATTATTAAATAAATCTAAGTCATTAATGATGTGAATAATTTCCTTCAAATCTGTATTGACACAAAGATCAACACTCTATTTCTACTTTTAATTTTTCTTTATTCTATTTTATTTATTAACAGGGTCTTCAATTTTTTTTTGCCTAAATGTATAATCTGTAGTTTCACTTTATTTTTTATTAGTTGATTAAAGTTTCTTAATATCATTTTATTTTATCTCTTTTGTTTCTTTTGTAGTTTAAACTTAGTTTTTAGATTCGATTAAATTAGGCTTCTTTGTGGAAGTTGATTTACTTACATGAAGTTTAGCATAACTACCTAAAAAATCTATGACAGATGATTTTTTTTATTTAGGTGTTGCTGTATTTTAAGTAGTATTTCTTCTTAAGTATAGTTTATTATTATTTTATTCTTATTTGATAGGAGAAATATCTTAAGAAGAAAATAAAGCCTTATCTTCTGAAAAATTAGATAATTTAACATCAAATTTTTTAATAGGTAGAGATTCTCTTCGAATATCATTTGGAATAGTTTAATGAACGATTTCAGTTAATAGTTTTTCTCCTCTAGGTTTAATTTGATTTTACAGTTAAGTGTCTTCTTAATATTCTTCTTAAAATTCTTCTTATTTTTTCCAAATTGGAGGTGAAGTTGGTTAGGAGCTTGATATATTTTTTTATGTATTGCTTTTCTTTAATATGGAATCGTATTTTTTGATTTTCATCATAAGGTCTTTTTAAATATTTCTGATTAATGTGCAAGATTATTTTTCCAGTATTTATGCTTTAAATAAGGATTCATTAAGTTTTATATGTGATTTATCAGGAGACATTTGATTAGACACTTTTTGTGCATAAGAAAACTCATGAATTCGTTTTTTAGTTTCGACTGGTATAATTTCCATTGTTGAATAAAGAAAGATGATGGTAATTATTTAATTTTATTTATCTTATAATAATTAAATAAAAGCATAATTAAAATCTGTTTTTCCATAATCAAAAGTTAGAACCAATAATTATGAATCTATATATTATTGTAAATAGTTAACATTATTGTTGTTAAAATATGGAGAGATTCATGTAAATTCTTATGTTTGAATATTATAAACAATGTAAAAGTTCAATACAATTTCATCAGTAAACAATTTTCTAATTTACTTGAATAATTAAAATAGAAATAAAATTTTATTATGGATTAAATTGAATTACAAAACCTTTGGAAAAATATAAGAAGTAATCTTCAAAAAAAGTATGCAAAAATAAGTGCTGCTTTTGTTGATATGGATTTTAATGATTCTTAAAAAATTGAATTAGATGATCTTAAATTAGAGTTAATATAAAATCATGGCATATAATCAGAAGAGTATATAATTTATATGATAATAGAGTAATCTAATAATTATTTGAATATTTGAATGTTTCAAAAACAGGTGCTATTAATTTAGAAGAATTTGAAAGGAATTGGAACTAAGTTGATGAATAAATATAATAAGCTTAAAATTAGTAAAAATTTTAAGAGCCAAAAAGTTTTGTAAAAATAGAAGATTAAGTTTTCAATTCTTCTGGATAAAAATCAGCTTAATAATTTTCAGAACTATTTAAATCTAATGCTTCAGGTACTTCACCTAAGAAATATATCAATATTTAAGGTGATTTCCAAATTAATTAATTCACATAAAATTATTCACCTCCTAAATAAAAATATCATTAATTGAATTATATAGATACTTTTATTCAAAATAAGAAAATATCACCTCCTAAAACATCATTTCTTTTAAAAAATAAAATGGATGTTCAATAAGACAAATTAAGAAATTTATAATAGAGGATCACTAATTTATTTAATACAAAATTAAATACTAAGAATTCTAGTCCAAAATTAAGAAAGGATTTCGATAGCTATTTAAATACATTAAAATTGGGAAAACCAAATACTCAAAGGAGATAACCATCAAATCCTTAGATCTTATTTGATTATTAAACAGTATACCCTTAACGTAAATCATAAAGAGATTATGAGTAAAGATGGTCATATAATAGGAAAAATAATTCATAATCAAGTAGATCATTAGATAGAATATCTTTATAATAATATGCATATTAATTTTAGGATAGAAAGTATGCCAATAAATAATTTAAATCATTCACAACTAATTCATAAAAAGGAATACAACCAAAAACAACATTTTGGTTTAGATTATGAATTATTTACATATTTTTATTTATTTACAGATAAATACTATAATTAATAACTAATATGGCAGAAATCAAAATTAGTAATCAAACAAAAGATAGAGTTGCAGCTTGTAAATCTTATATTGAAAGAAAATATAAAAGTTTAATAACCAATGAGAAAGAAAAAATGGAAGATTGGTAGTAATTATAATAAATATTACAAAATTTAAATTTTACACCTATAGAAAAAGAATTGATTAAAAAGGAAATTCAACATAAGGAAGCAATGCAATTAAGAAAGAAGTTAATATGAATTTATAATATTATAGGAGATAAAAAATAACAGTGGAAGATTTTGAATCTATTGCTATAATAGGAAGAGGAGCATTTGGAGAAGTAAGGGTTTGTAGATAAAAAGATACAAATGAAATAGTGGCAATTAAAAAAATGAAGAAAAAAGAAATGCTATTCAAAAATTAATTAGGACATGTTAGAGCTGAAAGAGATATATTGGTTTAATCAAAATGTTAATGGATAGTAGAACTTAAATCTTCATTTTAAGATGATGAAAATTTGTATTTAGTAATGGAATTTTTAAGTGGAGGAGATCTTATGACTTTATTAATTAAAAAGGATATTATTCCAGAAAGAGATGCAAAATTTTATATAGCTGAATTAGTTTTAGCTGTAGAAGAAATCCATAATATGAATTATATTCACAGAGATCTAAAACCAGATAATATATTAATTGATTCACAAGGTCATTTAAAATTATCAGATTTTGGTCTTTGTAAACATTTAGGTTAACATTATGACATGGCAGTTCCATTTAATATGAATAATAATAATGTAGATTAATAGAAATCAAGAAATGAATAAAGAAGATAATTAGCATATTCAACAGTTGGAACACCTGATTATATAGCCCCAGAAGTTTTTTCATAAAATGGATATAATCAATTAGTAGATTGGTGGAGTATTGGAGTAATATTATTTGAAATGGTTATTGGATATCCTCCTTTTTATAGTGATACTCCATAAAAAACATGTTAAAAGATTTTAAAATGGAAAAATCATTTTAAATTTCCAAATAATCCAAAAGTATCTCCTTAATGTTATGATTTAATCACAAAATTAATGACGGATGTCAATGATCGTTTAGGTGATGCTAATAAGATTAAAAAGCATCCTTTTTTTAATGGAATTGATTTTAATAATATTAGAAATCAAAAACCACCATATATACCTGATAAAAAAAAGTTGACTTCTAATTTTGATAAGTTTGAAGAGAAAGAACCTTGGAAACATGTAATACATAATAGAGAGGAATCAGATTAAGATAAGAATGGAACTAATTTAAATAAAAAGTACTTTCAAGGATATACCTATAAACGTAATTGTGATATGGAGATGAGTCCAGTGAAAAGAGCTCTAGAGGAATTAGAAAATATAAGACCTTCAGGGATTAAGGCAGATTTTAATAATAAATAAAGATCTCAATCTCCTAAACCTATAACAGCTCCTCCTGAATTTAATAAATCATAAAGATCTTAATCTCCAACTATAAAAGAATAACTTAAAAATACATATATGTAATATATTGGATAATATTTATCACCTCTTAATAAACAAAAATAACAGTAAAAATAATATAAATGATTACAATTGATATTTTAATATAAGAATAATCATTTCTCTGAATTTCTAAGTTAATATTTTCTTTTTTATTTTAATTATTTTTCTTTTAATAATTATATCTATTCTTCAGTCTATTTAATTCTTTTTAATTGTTCATCTTCATTATTGTCTTTCATGATTCTTTTCTCTTTAGAAATAGCAGGAAGAACAGGTAAAAATGGAGATGGAGATTTTTCCTCCTATTGATGTTTAACACTTTAATAATTTATAAAATATAATATACTTTTTTATGAGTAAAGGTTTTGGTTCCCCTTCAATATCTAATTTCTTCTATACTAATTTTTATTATAATATTTGAATTTCTGGTTTGATTGGTTTTTTCGTTTTCTTTACAGCTTTAACTGGATTACCAGCATAAATTTAGTGAATAAGATTAAGTTTTTCACTATTTTTAGAACCCTAAGATGCTATTTCAAGTGATGGTTTAGGTAACATATATGATTCATCAACTTTATTTTATTTTTTGCTAATAACAGATTAAGCATCATAAGATTATATTTAAGAATCATCTAATCTACGACCAATCCTTGGTAAATGTTCAATATTAGAATTAGTTAAAGGATCTTCAACATTTTCTTAGCTTGATTTTTAAACAGCTAAAGTTTGTATGAACTAATTTTTATCAATTCTCATCATTTTAATAGGTGCATAATTAGGTTTAGGTAGTCTATCAGTGAGATAATGCATTACTCTAGGGACTCTAATAGTTTACAATAAGAATTTTGCACCTTCTTCTTCTATAAGAACTTTATCATCCATTCTATTGATAATTGCTTATAATTGTAATATTTTATCACAAGATGGTCTCAAATGAGGTTAGACTTAAAGCAAAGCTCTTATAACATTGCTTAAATCTTAACTATATATAGTTGGTATTTTTGGATAATAACCTCTTACTACTTTCTTGTAGAGACCATTCATATCTTCAGCTCTGAATGGAGGTTTTAAAGTAGTCATCTCATAAAGAACACAACCTAAGGACCAAATATCAGATTTAGAATCATATGGTTGATCTTTCCATACTTCTGGAGATGCATAATATGGTGTTCCAGTTTATGTGTATAATAGTATTTTTTTAGCCACTTTAGATACATTCATATCTCCTAATTTAACAGTTCCATCTCCATTCATGAATACATTAGCTGATTTCAAATCTCTATGATATATCTTCATGTCATGCAAAGCCTTCAATCCTTTAACTATCTTAAAGTAGATGGATGAATTACTTATGTAAAGTAGTTCCAAATATCCTTTTCAGCCATTAACATTCCCTTTTTCTAACATTCAACAATCTTTTAGAATAAATCTCCATCATCTGCATACTCCATTACAATACTATTTAGAAACATTAATTTATACCACAAACTTTAAGTAGATTCTTCTAAAAATGCCTCTTTATATTAAATTACATTAGCATGTCTGACACTTGCTAATATTCTAACTTCATTCAATGCATTTTATTTTTCTTTGTCTGATAATGATTGTAGTTTCACTTTCTTTAAAGCATATTCAAAACCATCTGCTATTCTTCTTACTTTATACACTTTTGAATATGCTCCCTCACCTAACTTCATTATAAATTTTACCTAGTTCTTACAAAATCTAAAAGTCTTTTAAGGACATTTTCTACTATTATCTATTTTTTATTTATATATATAATTATTTAGAATATATTAAAATTTATATTAATCATAAATTTTTATTACTTTAATCCGATTCATTAAAATTTTATTTGTTTAAATTTGGTGAATTTATTCCTTATTCATTATATATCTAATATCATTTGCTTCATTATCATAATTAATTGAAAAGTAAGTCTATTATTATAATTACTGCCCACGCTCCAAATGTGATTTAGTCATATTTGGATTAATCTTTAGACTCATTTATAAAATCTATTTCTTAATTAATTATAATTATACTATTCACGATAAGATTCATTTCTATTCCTATCATAAATATATGACTATCTATATTTGATCTTCTCTGATCCTATATTTTTTTCAAATATTTTACAACTGCCAATTATTAAGAAATTATTAATATATCTTTACTATTTTGATAAATCTTTTACAAAAAATCATTTCAATTTCGAACAATTTTTACTTAAGAAACTGAAAAATAACTTTAGGATCTGAAGAGATTATTTATGTTTTTAATTGGCTTCTAATTATTAGATATAGAACTATTTAAATTAAAATAGCTCTTTATGATCTGAAACATTCACATTCGAACAGTGAATTTAATTATTTATACATAATTATAAATGGATGTTGTTTTTGTTTCTCTTATAATATAATATTGTTTGTTTCATATTATTATTTATATTTTTAATTAATATAATATCATCCTTTTACCAGTAACAATGTCTTAATTCTTAACACCTACAAGAGATGAATTATATGATTCATTGAGATTAACAGATATAGCTAAATCATATGAATCATTAGAACCATCACCTAAAAAATATATTAAGGTATTTTATATTAATCAAAATTTAGATAGAAGATTTTGAAAACACTTCTTTAGTATCTCAAGAATCATCTTTATTTAATCAAATCATTACACCCATACCCTTGAAATAACATGTGTCAGTTTCTAAGTAAGGACAAAGATTGTTAATAAATCCAAAACTGAAAATTGTAAATAATTTATTCAATTTTCATTTAGAAAATGCTTAATCTTTACATTTCACAAGCTATTATTCAAGAAGAGGACAATATTTTCAATTGTACACAATCATTGAAATGAGAAATCCTTATAATTTTTGAATTTGAATACTATAGATCAATAATATGAATCTTCACAAACTATTAATTAGATTATTAATGGTATGTATTTCCTTTATTCTTAATTTAGTAATTAATTTGCTTATTTCAATTATTCGCTTTCTTAACTATTCTCTAAAGTCTGATAGGCTCTAATGAAAGAGTCTAAACCCATTTGCAATTCTAAATAATATCTGAGAGCTTCTATCTTATAGCCAATAGTATCTCTTTCAGAGGTTCCAGGTACTTAAAATTATTTTTATTAATTAAGAAATCTATAAATATAATTAATAGTAAAAATTACTGAGGAACTATTTTAAAATTGTCAACAATAATAGATTCTTCTTCTTCTTTTGATTATTTTTTATCTAAACACTTTCTCATATCTTTAATAAGATACTTATAACCTTATTATTACTCAAAACTGTCATCTTCTCTTATTAAACTTACTATTGATTCTTTTCTTTTTTATTCCTACAAAATAGGACTTTTACTTTGAAGTCTAACTATATTTGTGTTGTCTTTTAAATAAAATTTATTTAATAATTCTAAGTTTTAATATTTAATAGGTTATTATTATTATTATTATTATTATTATTATTATTATTATTAATTTTCTTTCTAACTAACTACACTAGCAAATGATTGAGGTTTTTCAAATTTTTCATCTATTAGTTATTACTATTATTATTAAGAATAAATTTATTATTATTGTATAGAATAATTTTAATTTATTGATTACAAAGGTGAATTTTGTCTATTGAACAATTATTTTAATTCTACTTTACTGTTATCCTTTTTAGGTGAAGGTTTCTTACTAGCCACAGTTTGAATAATCTGTCTTGAAGTAATTGGTGAATTATTTTAACTCTAATTTTGAGATATCTTATTTTATTCAAATTGTTTTTATTATAAAATAAATTATTATGCAGTCTATTAAGGTTATATAAAACTAATAATAAGATAATTATTTTACAGATTTTCAGTAGGTTTTAATTCTGTTAATTCTTATAATTCATGTCTATTTAATGTTGAAACTAGCAAACTTCCTATTCTTTATTTTAAGAAATCTCTCTCTAAAATTCTCTTTATACTTGGTCTCTTTGAAGGATCCTTAATTAACATATCAGCTATTAATGATTGTAATTCTGAAGAATATTGTGATGGTATTGGAGGATAAGTTCCTCTTAATATTTTTAAAACTAATTCTTTCATAGATAATGCATCGAAGGCATGATTTAAAGTAGTTAATTCATACAAAATGCAACCAAGTGACCAAATGTCAGATTTTTGATTATAAGGTTTTTCTTAGCATATTTCTGGACTTAAATAATATGGAGTTCCTATTGCTGTTTTAGCACAATCATAAGTATGTTGTAAAATACGAGCAATACCAAAATCTCCAATTTTCACATCATTTTTGCTTGTAAGAAATATATTTTAAGTTTTCAAATCTCGATGCAAAATCTTCCTTTCATGAATGTGATTCATAGCCAATGCCATTTAAACAAACCAATCTAATATTTGTTCTTCTGAAAAGAGTATGCCAATTTCTTTTTGTTTAGCTATTTTACCATATAAATCCCCACCATCCGCATAATCCATTACAATACATAGACATCTGAAAAAAGTTTCATAAGAAAATTAATACTTTTTCTCCATGAATGATTCTCTATAAGTAATAATATAGGGATGTCTCATTGCCTTTAATACATGAACTTCATTCAAAGCCTCTTCTCTTTATTTTCTATCCATCTTAGATATGTCAATCATCTAATTTAAATCATTTGATACTTTTATTATATAATTTTTCTTATTTGACAATGCCTAGGCTAAAAGAGCATATCCAAAACTACCTGATTTATTTTATCATAATACCTTTTCCTACTACTTTAATTTTTTTGTATTTATCCATCTGGTTTAAATTTAAAATTTAATTATATTATGAATTATAAATACTGTTAAGAAAAAAATATTATTTTCTAATCTTTTAATATACTTTCAAATGAATGTAAAATAGCATATATCTATATATGAATTATAATTAATAGGATTATTCATTAAGAATATAGATTTCATATTATTAAGTAGATTTTCATTAAAATTTGGTTATTAAATTTCATCATTTCATAAAATGCAAGAGAAGTATTTCTTTGAAATAGAAATTGAATTTCTTTTATTTATCATTCTTAAATTAATATTATTATATTTAATAATGGAAAATTATAATTTCTCAGCTTTGTCTATATCTATATAAACAGATACTTAATCATCATAATCAGATTAATAATTGAAATTTAGCAGTCCTTTAAAATCAGAGAAAAATAATTTTGTAGATTTAGATAATCAAAAAGAAAATAATGATTCTGCTAATTAATCATAAGTTGAAGTTTCTATTTAAAAAGATTGCTAAGAAAAAGTAGCTTAGACTTCAGAATAAAAATCTAATAGCATATGTGGATCCTAATTAAAATAGACTAAAGCATCATAGAATAAAAAGAGATTAGTAAAGAGATGTTAAACAACAATTTTAATTGGATAATCAATTCATAAACACAATTCTTAAAAGGCTGATAAATATTTTATGAAAAAAAATAACTAAATTATAGAAACATCATTTGAAAAATTAAAGGTTAAGAGATCAAATTTTTCTGGAATATTTCTTACAAATTTAAGGTAATAGTAGAAACCAATTCAGGTTCGTTATTTTCGATCTACAATAACAAAAGTCCTAGTGATTGAATAAGACATGTTAGCTGCAGAATTTATTGTTTTAGCTTTAACATAGTTCCAAAATGATAGCAAATTAGATTAATCTTTGTATGAATTTCCAAATTACAGTTTAGCCTATTAAATTGAAGGTTAGGATGATTAGTAAGATTTGGATGAATTTTCATATCGTCGACCACTCTAAAGATACAAAAGTTTTGGATCTCTTGAAGACAAAATGAAATCAAGAAGAGAAAGTTTAGATGAAATAAATTATGATTAAAAACCAGTTTCATAGGCTGAAATTTCATTATTAGCTGATGATATTGATGATAAAATTATTTAAATTGATTTAGAATCTCCAATGCGTTATTATAAATCTGTTGATATTGTACCAATATTAGATTAAAAATAGTTAGATATTGATTTGTAGATGGTTAAGATTTTACATCAATAACTTCCAAATCATATTCTTATTCTTATAGAGGAACCTATAAGTTAAGGTAGATTTCATATAAAGATTCGACCTAATCAATTGGTCGAAGAATTATTTATAGAATTAAGTAGAAAAGCCAATAAGAAATATAGGAGTACTGATTATTAACTAATTTTAAAATATCCTTGTATTCACATGAGTAAGGAACAAATTAATTTAAAGATGCCTATCAATAAATTACCAATTCATTATTTGGTACTTACTTCAAAATTTTAAAATGAAATCATTCGTTCATTAAGATAATGTAATGATAGTTTTACTGTTAATATTAATAAAGATACAATATTCTCAAAAAGTGCAAATAAATCATATAGATTTTTGTAAGAGGAAGGAAAAATGTCTGATAGCGTAGATAAAGTTCGAAACTAATATTCGTATTAAGAGTATTAATTATTAAAAATTGATAAATAATTTAAAAATAATGTGATTTTAGGAATTGATTATTTCGATTTGTATTATACTTACACCTAAGAGAGACAAAGATAATTTTCTTTAGGAAAACTTTGCAAATCAATTTCTTAAATTTTATTTGAAGAGCCATTAATACAAAAAGATTATAGGAGATTGCCTTTAAATAAAATATAAAATGTTGAATTGACAAAAGATTTTAATTTGATAATAGTTTATGAGAAAAGTCAAAACTATAGAAAATAGCTACATTTTGGAATAGATTTAAATTAAGAGAAATCAAAAATAGATTTACAATAGAAATCTATAATGAATGCATGCAATAAATTAGAATATTTAGTGGATTTATATATAAAATATAAATAACAATTATGAATTTATTCAATATTGATAACTCTTTAGCAACTCCTTACTCAATTCAATCTAATACAATGAGTGTATTTATTGATAATGATTGGCTTACAAAATAATTGGAAAATGTCCAATAAATTGACTACTAAAACTATAATTTACCAAGCAACACAGATATTTCAGAGTTTGTATTATAATAATCTGTTGGAGAAAGTCCCTTTATTTAATAGCATAAACGAGATCCTGTTGATTTTTCATTGATAAAACTTGAGAAATTAGAAGAAATTCAATAAATTAATTATACACCAAAAAAATAATATTCATCAACAACCAGAAAATAAAATTATAAAAAAAGTAAAACTACTACAACAGGTTTTGCTATTGATGAGAATGATACAAATAATAATGATTCGCAAACCTTAAGGAAAATTAAATCTTCATAAGTTTAAAAATAATCAGAATTTACTAAATAATTAAATATCTATTAATAGAATTTCTCAATCTAAATTCTAGTTAAATACTTTGGAACATAATATTAATAAATCATTTCAGTTGATGAATCCATAAGAGCTGCTGAATTTATTGTATTAGCATTAAAAAGATTTGCCTCTGATCCTAAAAGTGATAAAACTAAATTTGAATATTAAAATTTCACATTAGCATACAAATTGATTGGTTAAGATATCAGTCCAACTAAATATACTTATAATAATGATGATAATTTTAATAATGAAAGTGTTATATTAGAAGATGAATCTTTAGAAAGACCTGAAGTAGATCTTGAATCTCAATTATTTTATAAAATAGTAGATTTATTACCTGCTACAACTAATTTTGGCTTAGATTTTTAAACAATTAAACAAACTTTTATATCAAATCCTGAATCAATTATATTATTAATAGAAGACCCTCAATTATTAATATTTTATCATATTAAAGTAGATAAAAAAGGAATTTTGGCAGATTGTTTAGTAGAATTGAATAGAAAAGTAAGTAGAAAATATTTAAAAAATGATTATTATCTAAGTTTGAAATTTCCATGTGTTAATTATGACACAGGAGAATTAAGTGAAAAATTTCCTATTAATTAATTACCTATTCATTGGTTAATTATTATTTAAAGAGTAAAAAATATTATTTTAGAATCATCAGAAGAAGTATCAATGGCTAATATTGGAAGAACATTTAATAATACAATTCATGAAAATATGAGAGGTTCAAATTCATATGGTTTTTTATCTATGAACTTTATGTAATTGACAACTGTAGAGAAGTTGCCTTTATTATATAGTTATTAAGAATTTAATTTGATAAGAAAATACAAAGGGTAGTTAATTGATGTCATTTTAGGCATAGATTACTTTGATCTCTACTATACATTTAATTAAAAATAAACTACAAAATTTGGAATTACCAAGTTGGTATCAAATATAATCAGGTCATTGTTTGTTCAAGAGACAGAGAAAAAAAAATATAAAAGAATTCCAATAAATAGTATTACAGATTTAAAATAGCAATAAGAAAAATATTTTGAAATATACTATGAATTATAGGATGGATATTAAAAAACAATTAAATTCTTTTCCAAAAATGATGACAAAACTGTTTTTCGAGAAGCTTTCACTAAATTAGAGTATTTAGTATCAATATAACAAATTTGATGAGTAAATATTATTCAATTTTTGGTGTAATTCACCATTTCTCATATTATATAAAGATTTATGTATTTATTAGATTTATATTAATTCTTTTTTTTAAAATCTGTATACTTAGAAATAGTATTAATAATAATTTTGATTATTACTTAAATAATAAAAAATTATATAATTTAAATTAAGAAAATAGTTTAAGTAATATAATTTTAAATAAAAAAAGACTGTAATTATGAAAGAAATCGATATAATGCAATTTAATTCATGTTAGTTTAATTTGATTTATATAATTTAATTGATTTTACTTAATTTTAGAGAAATCTAATTTAGATTGCTTTATATTTAATTAAATGTAATAATAATAAGCATAAGTTGGTTAAGGACCATTATGGTAACCTGTGCCTTAAGATTTTGTATTCCCTAAACCTAAATTTGAAGCCACAGTGAAAAAGTTAGGAAAAAAGTAACATGAAAGACATTTAGTAATAACTGAAAAACATATATTATTATTCAAAGTAATTGAAGTTATATTGAAAAGGACAAAAGTAAGCATGTTCATAAATTACTCCCTTTGGATTTTACTACAAGATTTGAAATATTTAGAGATGCACCTGTTTTGAAAGCCAATGCATCTTAAAAAAAATCTACTCCTAATACTCCTCACTCTAATAGAGTTGATATTGTCAAACCTGAAGATGTATAAACTCTAGGTGACATTTTACATATAAGATTGTAAAGTGAGAATACAGAAAAATATTGGGACTTCACTGGTGATTAAGAGATTTTAAAAACATTTAGAAAATATTTTGGATAGAAAATCAATTAGATGGGATTTCATCATATGTTTAAAGTTTTTAAAAAGATAGGAAAGGGAAATTTTGCAAGTGTTTATTTGGCAGAAAGAATTGAAGATGGATAATAAATGGCAATTAAAGCATTCTCAAAAAGTGCAGTTTATGCTGAAGAAAATGGAAAAGTATTGAAATATAATTATAAATTTATAGGAAGGTTTAATTAATGAAATAACAATAATGAGAGAACTTGATCATCCTAATATAATGAAATTATATGAAGTTTATGAAACTTAGAATTCTTTATATATGGGATTGGAATTATTATAAGGAGGATAATTATATGAAATAATGAAAAAGAAAGTCATTTTAACAAACAAACAAATTTAAGCAATTATGAGAGGACTTTTAGAAGGATTAGCACATATGCATTCTAAGAATATTATGCATAGAGATCTAAAATTAGAAAACATTTTATTTAAAGAATAAAAGTATAATATTATTATTGATTAAACGATAATAGCGATATCAATTCAGTTGTGATAGCAGATTTTGGTTTAGCTACTTTTGTAAATCTTCCAGTATATCTTTATTGCAGATGTGGTACTCCTGGATTTGTGGCTCCAGAAGTTATCAATATAACTGATATGACAACAACTTATGATAGTGTTTGTGATATTTATTCTCTTGGATTAGTTTTTCATATATTATTAACTGGAAAGCCTGGATTTCCTGGAAGAAGTTATAATACAATAGTCTAATAAAACAAAGAAGCTAAAATCAATTTTAAAAGTCCAGTGTTTGATATTGTACCACCATAAGCTTTTGAATTATTAAAACATATGTTGGAACCATCTCCTAAGAAAAGAATTACAGCTGTTGATGCTTTGAAATATGAATTTGTTGCATTATGCGAGAAAACTGTAAATATTTCATAGGAAGATGATGGAAATATTGGAGATATAGATGATAAACCAGGTCTTAATGTTAGAATCTAATAAATTAATGAATAGTATTTAAAGAAATATATTGAATTAGAGCAGCTAAATTCGATATGCTTAGAATCAATCAATTAACCAATTCACCCATTAAATCTCCTGTTATGTAGGCGACTAATAAAATGAAAGAAGTTTAAAATAAAGACTAATAAATGATCATGAGAACACCAGTTATAACAGGAAGAACTGTAGCTTGTGAAGGTAATTAAGAATTATTACACAAGAATCTCCAAATATGAATTAATTTGTCTCTCCAAGTGTTTAATTCAAAAAGTTATAATAAAAGTAATATTTTTAATTTATCTACTTAGTTAATAATAAGCACCTACTGGAAATGTTCTATTGAAATATACTTAAAAACCATAATAATAACAATAAACTAATAATGAAGATGAAAAAAAGGATTAAACCAATATTGCTAAATCAGTTAAAGCTGCATTAAGTAAACATGTATGAAAAATTATAAATAAATAAAATATAATAATATATATTAAAATTCAATATTTCAAATATCTTTGATATATTTAAAATTTTCTGGTTCTTTAAGAGCTCTTAGTAAATTATATCTATATTTTAAATGCCATCCAGTGTTTGCTATTCTTGAATTATAAATATAAGATACTGATTATTGTTTTAAAAAATACTCACTATAAATAATATATTTAAAAATAATACCTAAAGATTCGAAATGCTTTATTAAATTATTAACTTTTCTCTTAATTAGTTTCAACCCAAAGTTCTCTAAGTTATTTAATGTTTGTCATTTGATTTTTTTTATCTTTTAAAATAGTTACAAATTCTTCAAATTATTCACAATTCATTATTTTTAATCCAATATCCTTATTTTATATAATATAGCTAATTATTGCTTTAGAAAAGTTTTTAGTAATATTTTTAGTATCATTTACTTTTCCTTTTTTGATCTTACTTTTTAATTTAAAATAAGTATTTTTATGTTCTTTACTATCCTTTTCAACTTATTGAGGTTCCATAGATTCAGAATCATCATGAGAACCAAAAAACTAAAAATCAGATGTTCGAAAATGCTGACTTGATTGTAGTTGTTTTGGTTAGACTAAGAATCTATCTTAAGATTATAAGATTGGATTTGTTATTTAGTATTAAAAGGTTTGAAATTATTCTTAAGGATAATTTGCATAAAACTAAGGATAAGGTTAATCTAATGATTTTTTAAATTGTTACATTATATTAATGGAAATTGATTTCTTGGAAAAGACATGAAAGTACTATCATTAGATTCCTATACTTTAATTTTTCTCAAGATTTTATCGTCCTCAAAAATAACCTATTATTTAAGATGTTATTAATACATATAGCTAATTATTTTGATTTGGTAAAATAATTATATTGGATTTCTTTTTATTATTCTAATGTCGAATTAGATTGTTAAGACACTTTATGAATTTATGTTAAATTATCTGTAGCTGATTTATCTACATTATTATTGTTTAACAATTTACCTTTATTCTCTAATCATTACCATCAAAACTATGATAAACATTTTAAAAAGAAAATGGCTATTACATCATAGACATTTAAACACTATCCTAACTTCTAAGATTGTTTATCATTATAGACTTTTTTTTATGTAAAAAATTAATTATTAAACATTTTAAAATACTTACAAATTAACTGGACATTTTTATAATTAATGGGTTGAATATCATTTTTTGATATATATATGATTTATAATTAATTATACATTTTTATAATATTTATTAAACTAAATCTTATATATTATTACCTATAATTTTTCATCATTCTTACCCTTCTTCTTTCTGTTTTTCTTATGACTCTTCACTTTCTGATTATGAACTCTCATGATCCTATTAAACTTATTATTCCTTTAACTTCGAATATTGTGACTCAGTGAAATTAGTATATGCTCTCAACAGTTATTCCTTCAAATCCTTCTCCATCTCCTATTTTCTTAAAAAATCAATATTTTACATTGAATTTTTAAGTACTATATTCTTTTAGAGGATTCATACCCTCATTGGTTTTAGCTGGCTACCATAAAATATGAGGATATGTTCTAAAATGTTCATCAAATTATATTACTTTGTTATAAAAAAATCTCTCATTATTTTAATTTATAGTTCAAGTAATAGAACCTTAAATATTTATATTATAATACCTATCTTTTATATTCATCAGCAGCTAATTCTCTCTCTAATTCCTTCCTTTCATTTACTAACTAACTCTTCTTTTTCTATAAATTTATCAAAGAATAAATACATTTTAATCTTCTTTAAGGGTTTATAAATCCTATTTATCTTTATCATCTAATCTCTTATTTATTTCTATTTATTTATCCAACTAAAATAAGTTAAAGCAAATTTACTTTTTATTTCTCTCCAATCAAATCTTATTTCGCTTTTTAGAGATGATTTCCTAATAAAAATTTTGCTAAACGTTTATCCTTCTCTTTCAACGTAGTGGGTACTTGTTCATCAAGCAACTTTTACTTTTCTGCACGTTCTTCCTTTGCACCCACAAGATTTAATTGAAATGCTTTCTAAACAATCTAAACAATGATATTTACCTATTCCTTTCCATTATTTAATTTAACCTTTTTGTTATCTTATTTTCTAATTAATATAAATAACTAATATACTAAAATGAGAAATTCTTAATCTCCTTTATTATTGTCTTTCTTTAAGTCAGAATGTCAACTTGCTTCTTATTTAACTCATTCAATTTATTTCTTAAATCATCTACATTCATTGGAGATAAATTTTATATTATATTATTTTTATTAATAAAATAAACTCAATCTTTCATTTTGGAATACTTAACTTATATATATTTGTAAGAAAAGATTATATACACTTATTATGTTCTTTAAATAATAATAAATTAATAGTAATTATATATAAATATTAATTTCATTTTTCAGAGATTAATATTTTCCTTAATTCAGAAATTTATTCTTATTTCAGTATACTTTTAGACATATATAAATTTGATAAAATAATTTATATTATTATTAATTCTACTTTATTTTAAATATAGGAAATAGATTTAAGAAAATATAATACACTATAAATATCTTTTTAATCTTTCATTTCAGTTAAATATACTAAAAAATAACCTTTTAAACTTCTCTTTTTAATAATTAAATTTGCTATAATCATGTTTAAATCCAAAATTAGAATTAGAAATTCAGAATTATCAAACACAAATATATTATTAGAGATTTAGGAATAATTAGAAATAAATTTATTAGATTTTCTCTTTATTAAAATTTATTGATTGATCATTAAATAGATTATTTGAAATAGATATGATATGAATGATAAGATAATATTTTAGTAATTAAATATTTATTCAGAATATTTTCAATTATGACTATTATACAAAAAAGAGAATGAAATGAATAAAATTTTAATTAGCAATTCTAATTATATTTAAAAAAAAAAAAAGAATAAATATAAAGAATGTCGAAATCATATCATCATCAAGTTTAGTATGTTGCTAAAGATTAATAAGAATAAAAAAGAGATTCTTAACCATATCGAAAAGTAATTCAATAATTAATTAGTAATAGTCACATAATAATAATAATAATTATGATGGATTTTCAAGAAATAAAAAATATTATAATAATCGATAACACTATTAAAATGATAATAAGAGAGTGGAATATGAATGTATTTATCATATTAATATTATTAGAAAAATAATAATTATGTTAGCCTTCAAATAATGTTTATGATGCAAAATTATTACTTTCAGCTTATAAAGAATATATATAACCACCAGAAGACATCATATAATTGACCAAAAAAATACCATAATTATTTACAACTAAACCATTCAAACCTATTTCTTAGACAGCACATTGCAATCATAGTGATGAAGAAGAACCTCAATGGATGCAAGAGTCATAATTCAATGCCCCTTTTTAATTAAATGATATAGAAAATGAAATTTAATAAAAAAGAGAATAATATCAAAAAAATCATGGTACATTTGAAAAAAAACAGGAAGAAAAAAGATAAAAGATAGAAGAATTTTAAACTAAATAAGAAGAAATTAATAGTATTGAAATCGAAAAATAGAAATATAGAGAAAAAAGAGAATAAGAATTAAAATAATCATAGGCTGCTATTGAAACTAAATAAAAACTCTTTGAACTCTTTTCTTCAAATATTGAACCATTATAAACTCCTGTTACAATCAATCAAAATATCTAAACAGTTGAAGAAATAGAAAAAAGACAATTATCTAATTAATCTTAAATTAATAATAATAAATAAGATGAAACAGTTAAATAATAAGAAACATGTATTAGTGATGAAGAATTAAATTAACTTTTGGGTTTTAATAACAATAATGAAAATTTACATACTAAAACTTTAGATTAGTAGCCTTCTGTTCTTTTTAAGAGTGAATAAATTAAAACATCACCATTTTCTATATAAGCTCAATTACATAACAAAGACATTAATGAATCATTATGGTTTTATATAGATAAATAAAACAAAGTAATTTGGATTTTTTATTTAGACTTAAGGAGGGTTTCCAACTAAAAATATGGATGTTTGGTATTCATAAAATTATTTAAAATCCAATCTTTTGATTTCATGGGGTTCTCCTGGAAAATGGATATATTTAGAATAATTCTAAAACAATTTATAATTGATATTATAAGGAACCTTAGATAAATTAAAAGCAATGGATCCTTCAGTAGTTGATTAAACAAAAGCTTATAAGCCAGCTTAACCTAATCAATAACATTATGTTTAAAATAACAGCAATGTTAGATATTAATATAACAATTATAATAATTAATATGGATAATAAAGAAATAGAAATAATTAAAATAGAGCTATCTTTTAGATTGGATAATAGGATACATAATAAATGCATTAGAATTAATATTATTATTCAAATGGAAATTAATACGATTAATCAGGTGAAGGATTTATTCTTGATCCAAAGAATTTTCCAACACCTGATGAAAAATGAGATTAATAAAATTTAAAAAACAATATTATTTATATATTTCAAAATTTTCTATGGCTAAAATTAATTGATTTCTAAAAAGAAGTTGGATATTGTTTTCTATTACTGCCACTAAACTATAAACTTTATAAATAATCTTACTTTATTTCCAGAAAGTTCAGATATATACTTTGAATTTGATTAATTAAGTGGACTTTGATATATTTAACTAATATAATAATAATAATAGAATACTTTTAATATCTATTTGAATAATAACCAGAATAATTAATATTGCCTGAATTATTTAATTATGTTAATATGATTTTTTATTTAATTTCTTCTCTTTTAATTTCTTCCTCTATCTTTAATTATTATCTTATCAAATCATTTCTTTGTTATGGAGGAGATGGATTGAATTTTCTAAGGTAACTAATTCTTGAGAAGTTTAATAACTCTCGATTGTATTCATTATTTAATAGTGATCCTATATGTGATGTATTCTTTTATCCTAAAACAACTTCTAATTTGTTTATTTTATTCTTTAATTATTGAATTTATAAATCTATATCATTATAAGAGTCATGATTTAGATATTTGTAATCCTTAGATTATTCTTCTATTTCTTATGATGATAATGGTTCTTATTGATTATTTTACTAAGTATTATTAACATCTTAATCTTAATCTTCATCTTTTTATTAAATTTATTCTTAATTTTCTTCTTATAATTCTTATTCTAAATCTTCTTTTTATTATTCTTAATCAACATTTTCTTCTCCTTATTACTCTTAATCATCCTAATTTTCAGTATAAATTTGATCTAATAAATTTTATAATAATTATTATTATCCTTAAATAATAGTAACAAAACTCTATAGAATTTCTTCACTAATATCTTCCCCTTATTATTATAACCAATTCTTCAATGAATCTACTGTAATTTAATTATCATTATCATAAATATCTAATTAATTCAAATCAATTTTTTCTTGTATTTACTAATATTATCTAAGAAATAATAATATAATTTACAAATAATTTTATTTTATCTAAATAAAAAATTATGATAATTATGTTTCTATTTCTTTTGGTAATTACATATCTACAGGAAGATCAAAACTCTTATGATTTAAAGCTTAATCTTTAATCTAATCATTTAACTTAGGCAATATTGCACTCTTGAAGCTAATTATTTACATGAAAATAATACTCTTAATAAGTTACTAAACCATCAGAATCTTCATCTAAAACTCTGAAAATATAATCAAGTTGATCTTAAGTGACTTAAATTTCATTATCATATAAAAATTCCAAAATGTTCTCAGGTCTTAATCCTCCAGTTCTTGGTTAATCTAATCTTTTGTATGCTAATTTATTATTTTTATTTTTATACTTGTAAAAGGTTCAAAATTATTCTAACTTGCTAAAAGTATTCTTATTTCCTCTAGCTTTGCTTCTGCCTCAACTGCACATTAAATAAAGAAATAGAAATTCATTAAATTATAAAAATAAGATTAAATAAATTTTATTTAATTCTTAAAACAAAATAAGTACAATAAAACATCATTCTAAAGTATATAGTCTATTTTTCTTTGAATTATGACTTTTCCTTTAACTTAATGGAGATTTTAAAGTTTGCTTAATGTTAAACCTGTACTATTTTGGTGGTTCATAATAATAGTCTACACTACTATTTCTATACCTATTAGAGTATAAATATATATCATCTAAAATTTAAGGTTTTTTTTTGTGCTTTGGTTTTATTATATCAGAAATATCAAATAATTCAGTTTTTTTAATTGTATTTTAGTAATACTACCTGTTTTTAACACTTACTTCAAAATCACTACAATTTTAATAATCCAAAGAATGTAAAATGAGTTTCTATCTTTTTTACAGTATGCATTTCTAAGATGGTTAAGTTGCAGTATCTTGATCTGTTGTAGTTAAATTTTTTAATTAACTTGTTAATTTATTTGATTATTATTAAGTTTCTATTGATTCATTTTAGTTCAAACTAGAATATTTAGCTTTGCTTGAATGCATACCATTTCTTTCTTCATGATCTATAATTTTTTAGGATTATTTCTATAGAATATTGATTTATTATTTTAATTCAGTCTGTTAGTTTTGTAGTTCTAATATTTATGATTTCAGTTATGCTATTAATTATTATTATTCTGTAATCTATTTTTCATATAAATTTAATTATGAATGTTATCTTCTAATTGTATCCTGCTATTAAATATTTATACTCTCTTGTCTTTTTAATTTATTTTATAATTGATCACTTAAATCATATAATTCCAATAATTCTTTTTTCTATTGTCTAATTGTATATTATTGTGGATCATAATATTCTTATGTGATTTCTTCTTCATATTATTTATTCCTAAACTATAGATTATCTAAAGTCAGTTAGTTCACTATGTCCTACAGTTATTACATATTTGATGTTTATTCAGCAATTCTTTGATAAAGTTTAAAATTGATAGCTTAATTTCTTTCTATAAGTTATTGATAGTATTTCTCAATTTCGATAATTATTTTTTATATAGTTTCTTGAATTACTCTTTTATATTTTGTATGAACATTTTAGATCTCTATCACATTAGACTGTCTTATAAGTTTGAGAGGAGAGTTTATAATGCTTGAGGAAGTCAATGTTTAAGATGTAAATTCTCCCAGAATAGGATCGAGTTAATCATTAATAATATCTGTAAATTATTAATTCATTATAAAATTCATTGCTATTATTATCTCTATTATTCGCGAAGTTTTTCAATTTACTTTCTCTAAAATTCAAGGTCTTACCTCTCTTACATTTTTTAAGGTTAATAATATAATACAATCAAATATCTAAAAAAGAATTAATAAAAAATAATGGATATACCTTCCAGCAACATTAAAACCAGACAAATTATCAAAAGCATTTTTTGCATCATAAATATCTTCATAAACAACAAAAGCTGTTCCTTTCTTATCTCCATGAGTACCCCTAAAATAATCTAATCAAAATTATTTACTTTCTAATTTATCTTATTGCTCCAAATTTCCCAAAGATATCATACATTTCTTCGGATGTAATTTTATATGGTAAATTTCTTACATAAAGTATTCTATTTACTTCGGCTGGCAATCTAATTACTTATCTAGACATAAAATTTATGATAAATTAAATAATATATATATTTAACTTGGAAGTGTTTTTTTTTGATTTTTGATTTTTAATTAAGTTGGTCCAAATATTGTCACATTAATTTGTCTTTAATATTACTTTTATGATAATATTAAACATATATCCTTTGTTAATTTTCTATAATTTTTAAATTCATAATAAAATTAATATAATCCATGTTTATAATATGTTAATCAAATTGAAAATAAAATTTGAATTTAACAATTATTTATTTATTCATATTTCATACTTAATTTTTATTAAATATATAATATAAATTATAATGATTAACATGAAATTAAAAAATCCAAAATCCTTATCCTCACTAGTAAATTTGTATTTAAAAAAAATCAATAATCCCATGGAGCTTAAAGAATTAATTAATAAATTATTAAGTGATGCTACGTTTTTACCTATTTATGGACTAACCGATTAATAAAAACTAGAACATAGAACCATTTTTACTAATATTACACTTGGGAATAATTAGAACTTAGGGTAACTTATGAAATTATATTAGAACAATAATAGGAATGGCAGTTTTAGGAGTGATTGGCTTTTTGGCACTTGGATTTACCTTTTTAGGAGCAATAGGTGGAGGAGCTATAGGTATAATTTTGGGAAGGTATTTGGGAAGAAAGATCTCAAAAAAAATAGCTACAAAAGGGATAAATTTAACTGAATTTGATATCTTTGTTATTAGAGTAAAATGCTTACTAAGATGGGTAAATTTCAGTTTGATGATTTAGGGTAAATTGATTATGGTTAAATATATAAATGATATCAACTTACAGAGATTTTGTGTTTAAAGAATTTTAACTGAGATCAAACCTCTTTTGCATTATAAGTATTTTGATAAAAAATTTCAAAAAGAATCTTAGACTTTATTAATAAAAATAAGAGAGTAATTGTCTAAAGAATAATCAATTTATGCTTTATGTCTCAGTTATAAATTGACTAAAGAATATATTTAAATAATTGATTAAAAAATAATATATTCAAAATTTAGTAATTATGAAGTAAATATTTAGTTTAATATATAGATATCATATGTTTTAAATGAAACAGTTTCAGATGTTTTAATACCATTTTTAACATTATTTTAAGATGTAAGAGATTGTTAAAAAAATGATGTAATCTAATTATTAATTAAAAAAATCAAAAAATTATAAATTAACAAAATAGTATTAAAGTGTTAATAAGGTTATTTTGATTAATAATTATCAATTGAATTTATTAAAATGTTTGCTGCTAAACTCAATTATAAAGTTAAAATTGAAGATTTAGAAAAATTTTTATAAATACAAAATTATAGATAATAATTATAAAATAGAGAATAAATATCAAAAAGTCATTAAAGAAGAAAAAGTTAAGGAGATATGATATCAATGAATGAAGATATAGATTAAGAATTTTAAGCTTAAGTGCCGTTAATTATGAAAAATTAAGTTAGAGCAAGGGCAAAATCATATGATGATAAAAATGACCAATAAATTATCTCAAAATAATAATGTCAATTAATTAATCAATAAAATTAATAATAATAACCATAATAACCTCTTTAATAATAATAAAATAATTTTGAAAAAATAGAAAAAAGAGGATCTTAATGTATTCAAGAAAATTTGATACAATAGAGTCAGTTATAACAAATTCTATGTCTATAATTGGAACATTCCAAACAAAATTAATAAATAAATAGAGGATCATTTTAAGCAGAAGAAAATTAAATTAATTCTGATAGAACATATTAATTATCAGCTGAACTGGAAGAAAAGTTTAAATTATTAGTTGGTCTAATAGAAGAACCTATTGAAGGATGGGAAATTATATTAAAAAAAGAAAATTTAATCATTTACAAAACTTTCAAACCTGGAAATCCTGCAGTATTTGTTAAAGGCCATAGTGATTTATAAGGAATTTCAATTGATATTTTATTGAAAGCTATACATAATGAAAAATATAGATAAAAATGGGATAAAATTTTATTGAGTTTTTAAGTTTTGGAGAGGGAATCTGCTATTGTAGATATTATATATTACTATGTTAAAAGTCCACCATGTGTAGATAATAGAGAGTTTTGTTAGAAAAGAATACTGAAATATGATTTTCCAAAGCCAGGAAAAACTTGTCTTCTATATTTTAGTGTAGATCATAATAAGGCTCCTAAATTCAAAGGACATATAAGAGCTGAAACTTTAATTTCAGGTTATATTTTAGAATCTATACCAGGAGGAAGTAGATTATATTTTTGTTCAAATAATGATGTTAAAGGGGATATTCCAAAAGTAAAATAAAAATATTCTATGAATAGAGCTTAGTTAATTATGTAGCTTCCAGGGCTCCTATTAGTTGGATAAATTCATTAAGAAAAGGATGTGAAGATCATGATAAGATAATGTAATAAATTTAATAATGAATGATTGAGAGTAATTTATTGTTTTATATATCATTCAACTATACTTTATAATAAAAAATAGATCAATAATAAGATAATGGGACCTCCAATAAAAAATTATTTGGCTGTTATTGAACTTTCTTCTTCCACAATAATATTAGCACTTAAATTATTACAATTATCATTAATCTAATTGTTTTAATAATTATCAGTCAATTTTAACTTATCGAAGTGCTTTTTAAAGATCTTAGTAAATTATTCATTTTATAAATTAAATTTTTTGGAATTTAAAGCTTATTTCTATTTTTCTAAATGACTACTTATAATTCCTCCAGTTGTATTTTCATTGGTATACATAAATGAAATAATTGAGATCATCATAGATTCAATAGTTTATGCAGAACTCCAACTTTCTGGATGAAAATTGGTAAATGATCTTATAATTAATATAAACAATTTACAAACATACAGGTTTTCCAACTTCAAATCTTCCTGATGGAGTAATAAATTTTAATGTTGGAGGTTTTAATGGATAATCTGGAGGCATCTATAAGATTCCATGATAATATCCTCCTGCAAAGGAATCAGTCAAATTATAAATGACAAAATGCCATTCAAAAATATTTGTAGGATTTGGTTCACATATGAATTAATTATTGTTCAACTTTTACAATTTGTCATATTCTCTTAGTAATCTTTGAATTGATAATTGTTGAGCCATAAAAAATAATAAATTAAATTATTTTATCTAAGCAATACTATGAAAATTAATAGTATCAGTCAAAAATAAAAAAAAATGGAATAATATATATAATAATCTTTGATTATACTATAAATAATGATAAAATTAATAATAATTTGCTTATTCGTTTTAATACAAATTAAATGTTAAGATGGTGATGGAATGGATGAAGCAAAAAAGTTATATTAAGAATTACATGGTGAGATAGAATTAGAAGAAAATGCAACTGAAGATAATTAAGAATAAGAAGATAAAGAATGTGAAGCAACTAAACAAGATGAATAAATCTATATGGCTAAATAATTATCAAAAGTAGTTTTAGAAGAATAAATAGAAAAAATTACTAAAAGACTTTCAGATATTAATGTTTAAATAGAATCTTTGAAATATAATATGCCAACTAATGAAAAATCTGATGAATGTTTAGAATTTAAAGATTGTGCAGCTTGTACAAAAAATGCAAAATGTGGTTGGTGTAGTATGGAAGAAAAATGTGTAGCAGGTGATAATATAGCACCATTCTATACAATGTGCAATTTTTATAATTATTTATATTGTGCTGGAGAATGTGCTAGATATGTTGATTGTGATGTATTTATATTTTTAAGGAAAGTCATGTGTAAAAGATACTGCTTGTGGATGGTGTGAAGATTAACCACATATAATAATTAGTTGTGTTTAACTTGATGGAGATGGTATATAATGTCCATAGAATTATTTAATTGGTGATGGAGCTGCTAAATGTCCAAAACGAGAATTAATTGTTTTAAAAACTGTAAATACTAAAAAAAGAAAAGAGACTAAAGCAGAAGAACCAAATAATAAAAATTCAGAAAGAGGTTGGGAAGATAATTATGGTAAATTTATTATTAACTGTTTTATAGTTTTTGTTAGATAAGGAAGATATAAAGAAAGAATGAATGCTTTAAGAGAAAATGCTAGTCCATCAGGAGCAGCTGTTGGAACTAATGAATTAGATCGATTATATGATGAAAGAGCAACATTAGAGAAGAAACTTAATTCTTATTAGAAATAGTATAAAAAATTAGTAGGAGAAGGAGGAGATGAAGGATAAGATGAAAATGCAGATGAATGATTTTAATATAGAAATTCATTTAATATATATAAATAATTACTTTATAAAGTAAAATATGGGTACTTGTGTTTCAAATTAAGATGATGTTAGAAATGCTAATTAAATAGCTTTATCATTGTAAATAATAGTAAAGTAACATTAGAGAAATAAAACATTTCACATGGAGTCGAGATTCTCATGGTTTGTTTGATTATGAAAATAAAAATGTGATAAAAGGGTAATTAAAAACTAATTCGTCAAAAAGTATTTATTATTATAAATAATAGTGATATTTATAAGATAAAAAGAAGCCATTAGAGTTATTTAAACAAAGGATGAGTTGTTAGTAATATATAAAATTTAATGAATTACTTTTAGTAATATCAAAATTAATCAGATGTACAGGAACTTATTAGAATAAATCGTTAGATAACTAAATATTTTATTGAATCTATATATTAATAATAAATATCAGAAGAAACTGAAGGATTATCAGATTGTAGTCCTTGGGTTGTGGTTAAATCATTAAAGAATCAAAAAAATGATTAATCAGTTAATTTATTACTCTATATTTGATAGGGCTATTCATTGAAATAAAATGATTATATAAAGTTAGGTAGAGTTCGATTTCGAATTCGAGAGATTAGTTGTTAAAATAATAATACTAATAATTAGGAAGTGTCTATAGAACCTGAATTATAAAAATTTGTATCTGATAAAAGTTTAAATATTATGAACATTCATACATAAGAAGATGAATAGATTTAAGGAGAAGAACCATAATGTAGAATATGTTATAATGATGCTTAAACAGATTAAAATAATCCTTTAATAGATTGTTGTAAATGTTAAGGATCAGTTAAATTTATTCATTTAATATGTTTGTAAACTTGGTTGCTTAATAAATTATAACCAAAAACTACAAAATTCTCAGTTTCTTTTTAATGGAAATAATTTGAATGTGAAGTTTGCAAAGCTCCTATTCCTAGTAAATATTAAAATTTATGATAAGATAGAGTCAAATATTAAAATAGAATTTATGAAACTATTGTACTTCCTAAACCAGATCCTCCATATTTAACATTGGAAATTTTGAGTAGAGATAGAAATTAAAGCAAAGGAACACATATAATTAGTTTTTCATAAAAACAATTTATAAAATTAGGAAGAGGTCATGATTCTGATGTTCGTATTACTGATATATCAGTTTCAAGATTACATGCTATAATTAAATATTCTAATTGTAAAATTCTATATTTATTTAATCTAGCATAATTTATTATTGAAGATCAATAATCTAAATTTGGAACATTAGTATTAATGAAAAATCCAACCTAAGTATCAGTTGATCTCAATAAAAACCTTGCTATATAAATAGGTAGAAGTGTTCTCAATTTCTAAGTATCAAAAGATTGGAATGTTTAAACTTGTTGTATGTAAGGAAAAATCATTTATATTTTTTAATTAGGGGTTCTGTATCAGATGAATAAATGCAATAATAAGAAGACAATAATAATTTAATAGGAAGTGCAATAGGAGATGATGATTAAGTTTAAGTGGAATAAGCATTCATTGATAATAATGGAGAATTCGATTGAAAAATTATATTCTTATTTTTTATTTGTATGTGATAATAATATAATATATAACTCATCTTCTCTATTAAGGTTACTTTTAAGGATAAGACTTACCACGTGATTTTTAATTTTAAGTTTTTCTTTATTATTTTTATTCATTTTGCTTTTATTATTTTTACTATTATTGTTATTCATCTATTTTTTAATTGTAAAATTACATATCTCAGCTTCTTCTTAAGCTTTTTTCTCAGCATCAGGATTCTTAAATATCAATATTACTATTCATACCAATCTAAAATACTTAATCGAATTTCCTTTTATGAGCAATTCTTTTATTCCATGAAATTAATTTCCATCCTGATAATATAATAAATGAACCATTTACTTTTGATGTATGTTTAACATTAGTTAATTTAACATTCATAAATTTATCTAATTATTCTAATTTACCATCATATGTATCTCCTGCTTTAACTTCAATTACCTATTCTTATTATTCTTTAAAATATACCGCATCTGATCCTTTGGCTGTTAATAATAGACTTAAAGGGAACTAGAATAATCATGAGAAGTTTTTACAATATTTATCATTAAATAAATGTGTATGAAAATATATTAAATAATACATTAAGTCATAACTTTGTTTCAATTTCTCTCTTAAATATTTAAAATCTAAATTTCTTTAATATATTCAGAATTTATAAATAAAGATTTTTGATAAGAGTATCTAAAAGTTATTCTCTTTTTTGTAAAAAATTCATAAGAAAAAGTACTTATTTAAATATTATGAAATTTATTACTTTTACAACACTTCAAATTTATATTATCATCATTAAAAACTGACTGAGAATTAAATGTATATATATATAAATACAATTAAGCAATTTAAGTTATTCAAATTTAAAGTAATGTAAAAGATACAATAATTTAGAATAATAAGTAATATGAAAATTTAGTTACAAACAATTATTTGAGATTAATTATAGATAAAAATTAAAATTCATATAAGATTAGTATAAAATATAGAATGATACAATTAGAATCTAAATTATTTAATGAATAAGAATATTAATAAGATAATTGTCACATATTTATATAAATAAGATATATCTTAAATTGACTCCTTTTTTTTTGATAAAAAAGTATTAATCAATATATTTAAAATATAAACATTATTTTATTAATCTAAAGGATAACTCTAACATTAATAAAAAATATAGAGAATAATAAAAAATAAGTAATGATTGTTGTTATATTTTATTGTATAATTAAAAATATTCATAAAATTTTATTTCTAATGTCTTCAAGTTTTTTTATTATATCAGCAGGAGTCCTATCAAATTCTTCAGCAACAGCTCTTTATTTATTATATTACATATTTCCAAATTAATCACATAAATCTCCATCTATGATAGACTATAGAAATAATATAAGATATATTTACTTTGCAAGGCCCATAGGCAGATCTAAATTACATATGATCTCTTCCAGAAAGAGGCTGATGTTCAACTCTAAGATACATTTCAAGATGGAGGAAAAAATCAATATCCTCTTTATTATCAAATGGATAAAGTGCAGCAATTGATCCCATGGATGTTCCATAGACAACAACTTCTGAACTGGTAGACACTAAGGCAATTTTTTAGAGACTAGTGATGACTTCACCTACATAAAAATTGCATATTTAATCCATTTTAAATGGAGCTCCATTCATACAACCTTGATCCATCTTCATTTTATATTCATATGGATGTTCTTCTTATTCTTCATCTATGTCTAATGGTACTCTACTAACAAATATATTTTCAAATTTATCGCCAGCAATAACAGTATGATAATCTAGAACAGTACTTGCTGTTACATATCTTGGTAGAATATCATCTGCCAATTCCATAAATGTTTAATCTCTTATATTATATCTAAGGAGATGTATAGAATCAGCTACTTCTGCTACATAAATTCTATCTTCTTTAACCATAATTGAAGTAATAAAAGAATTCAAATTTTTGATTTCTGCTTTCTTTAAAATTCTTTGATTTCCCATTTCATATACTCTTAAATTACATCCAGCTCCAACTAATAATCTTCCTCTCCAAGCTGCTAATGCATATGGAATTTCATCTATAGGAGTTGAATGTTTCAATTTCAAAGTTTTATTATCATAAATAAATGTATGTATAAATCCTTAACTGAATTTTCTTGATGGTTCATTTACAAGATCTTTTACTGTTCCTACACAAACATATTACTCTGGATAGCCAGCAAATTAAATATAACAAATTGAACATGCATGTTAATTCTCATAGAATTAATGAACATTAAGTGTTTCTAATTTAGTGGCATCTACTATTCGAATCAAAGATGCCCATTTATATTGTTCAGCTTAAATTTAATTCCATTATTCTGGTAATTCTTCAGTCTAATAAACTTCCTCAACCTTTTATTAAATATTATTATATGATCTATTATCTGATTCAATAATAAATATTGCCTTGCTAGGTTCATGAAAAATCATTTTTCTAGGTGAATATGTCAAATCTAATGACTACTAATTAAATATTTCACCAAATCTCTCTGGCATTATGATTCGTAAAGTACTTTAATTAGTACCAACAATACCTTAAAATTCCTTAGCAAGAAAAGCAGAAGCATAATCCAAATAATCATAAGATAATGGTTACATGAATATACGACCACTATTATTATAACATAACCATGATCGAGATGATAATGCTAACATAGCCTATTATTAATTAGCTGTAATCCTTAGACATTTTACAGCTTTTGTTCCTAAATATCTTGTTCTTGTATCAGATAAACCTCCTGATAATTAATCAACTGAAGTTCTCATTAAGAGACCATTATTCAAACCTATAAATAAAAATAACTATTTTGTAAAACTTTATTAACCTTCTTATTCAGAGGCCATCTCCATCATGCATAAGCTTTCAGCCTCACTAGGCAATGCTTACATGGCTCCTCTTTCAAAACAAGATTCAGGTTCTAAACTCAATAATCTAATTGTTTAATCACTCAAAGCCACACATAAAAATTTGCATCTTTATCTTCCCTCTTCAATAGGACCTAATTCTAAAGCTTTTATTTCATTGTCCATTTAATCTTTTGTTATTTCAATCAAATTTCCTGAAACTGTTGTAGTATCCAATTCAAAATAATAAACATCACCACCTGCTAAAGCAAATGCTACTTATTTTTCATTTGAAACTCCTTTAATGACTTTACCATCAATTATATAATCAGTAGGTGGTTTATTTTTTCTAATGTGTCTATATCCATTTGTTAAAATTTGAATTTAGGAATCATCAATTAAAGTTCCAACATGAATTGTTTATTTAGTTCCTTCTAATCCTGTATCATGAACCTACTCTACTTTCTCACCAATTTTTAATACTAAGGTTTTATTAATGTATGAAATCACTATGTATTTATGAACTGGATCTTCATATCTCTCTTTTAAAGTCCATATACCTAATGGTTTTGCTTATAAATTAGTATTAGCTAATTATGTTATTTCTAAACCATGTCTCAAAACTCTCAAAGTAGATCTATTACCAGCAGCACAACATATATATATTTATGGATTGCCTTCCTTTGCTAAATCTGCCACTTTTAAATCACTAATACAACTAAAATTATTAAGTTCCTATAAGAGTGATAAATGCTTAAGTTTTTAAGGCTTAAAGAATATTTATTCTTCTAGAGCCATACTAGAATCAGTACAAATAATATTTGTATTTATTTCCTCTCTCTAATATTTATAGAAACAATGATTTCCCTTTTCACAAGCTGCAAATAGATGTTTACTTCTCATCAAACACAAACTATTAGCCACAGGAATAGTATCAAAATAGATCATTCTTATTGAATGAACTTCATCTTTAGTAAATTGTAATGATAATTCAAATAAATCACCATATTCTGATTATAATAAATATAAAAAGGATGACTAATATATATATTTAATGATAATTACTTTTTATTTATAAAATCCAAATGAACTTATCATTGCTCCTCTATCAGCAGGCATTCCCTAATTTTTTGGATATGGAACTTTCATTTCCTAATTCTTTGGACCTCGATAATGCAAAAAATCTTCACATAATACTATAACACCTCCTGGTCCATCTGGTGCATTAGGAACCATTAATAAAGAATGAGATGAAATATGAATAGGATCTGATCTTTATCTTCTAACAGTATTCAATCCAAAATCCATTTCATATATAGTTAAGAATTTGGTTTAAATACCTGTGCAAACTGCACTGTCCTTGTCTTACCAATCACCATAATCTGATTCTATTGCTGCAAATTAAGCATTATCATAACCAGCATCTAACCCTACAATATCAAACACAATAGTATGAGATTTTGGCGCCTCCAAAGGGGAAGAAATTGTAATTTTTTCATTTTCTCTAGTTAATATATATACAAATTTATGTTTTTCTACTGCACTAATCATAAAGGCTCTTCCTTTAGGATCACATGCCAGGTATTAGCCAGGAACAATCCTTCTACATCCAGTTTTCCCATAAGTTTCTTAATGCACTTTTACAAACATGTTTTTTAAACCATCAAAACCTAACACTACTACTCGACCTGAATCACTACCAATAACCAAATTATCTCTATTATTCTACAATTTTATTAAAATATTTACTCCAGGAAATCTAAATGAATGGATTGAACGTATTATACCAAATACTTCTTATGATGCTATAGTCTCTAATTTACCACTAAACATTATATAACAATATTTATACTTGCTCTCATTTATCTTAAGAAGCTCAATATGCTTCACTTTTGATACAACAATCTCTTAGGCTTTTGGTCCTGAGAAATTTCCATATATAGCCTTTTGTATTCCTGTGCTTTTTTGTAAAGTTAGACTGTAGAGTTGCATATCCAATATTTAAATAAAAACAAAAAAGAATATATTAAATAAAATCAATAATTAATTTGTAAATTAGGCATTCTTTTCTTATTGTTTTTCTACACTATGTACACCTCAACATTTTCATCATTATATACTCTATTTTCAGTCAACTTATAAATCTACTCTTCTAAATTATTGATTTTAACTTCCATATCACTCTCATTATCTAACTTATTTTAATTTGATAACAATTCTATTTTAAGTAATATATTATACCTAAACATTATTCAATTTGCATATTGATATTAATTAATTTCTCAAAAGGATCTATTTCTCTATTTCTGTTTGTTTTTTCTATATTTTATTTTTCAGTAAATTATTTTTCATCTTTTTTAACTACATCTTAACATTTACTAAATGTATGAATTTCCTTAAGGGTATTTTCATCAATTTATTATAGCACATTACCTGTAGATGCTTTATTATTTCTTCTTTTTTTTGATCTCAATTTAGACATCAATCTATCCAAATTGAATTCTTCATCCAATAATTTATCAATCATTGATTAACATTTTTTTAATAATGTTTCAATACTTGCTTTTGGCTATTTTAATGATATTCTCATTTCTTAGATGAATAATTATGCATCAATTCTCTCAATATCACAGTGAATTTATTATGATATTGTTTAATGCATTTCTTCATTCTTTCTAAATTAATTCTCTATTGTTTCTATTAATGAATCTATCTATTAATTTTTTATTTTTACTGATATCGATTAATTGTTTTTAATGTGAATGCATTATTCAAGTCTTATTTTAACGATATTTAATTTAAATATATACTATTTTAGAATATATTAATCAATATTAAATTTCTGATTTTTATGTTAAAAATATCTATATGAATTATTTAAGAGTAAAATTTTACTGATTTCTTGAAAAATAATATTAATATTTTAATTACCTAATAGAAAATAAAATGAATAGTGATAATACCAAAATAACAACAAACCAGTCCACTTACTCAATTTTAAATAAACTTGGTGAAGGTTCTTTTGGAGTAGTATTTAAATGTAAAAATGAATAAACAAATGAAATTGTGGCAATCAAAATATAAAAAAGCATAAATAACAATGAATTAGAAATGTTAAACAAAATGAAAGGTTAAACCTTTAAAAATTTAATTAAAACTTACGAATTATACTAAGAATATGATATGTATTATATAGTAATGGAGTATTGCAAAGAATCTTTATATGATAGAATTTGTTAAAAAGGTAAAGTTAAACCAGATGATGTAAGGTTTATAATGAAAGCAATAGGAAATGGGATAAAAGAAATTCATGATTTAGGCTATGCCCATAGAGACATTAAGCCTGAAAATATATTGATATTTTAAATAGAAGATGCTAATAATATTTAAGAAATATATAAAATTTGTGATTTTGGTACAATCAAAAATATTGATCTCCTTAAAACTTAAACTGTTGGTACTGCTTATTATCAAGCTCCAGAATAATTAAATTATTCAAATCACTACTCTTAAAAAGTTGATATATGGGCTTTTGGAGCTGTGATTTATGAATTATTGACTTAAACTCCATTATTTAATGGTATTTCTATTTTTAATTTAGGATTTACTGAGGATGAAATTAAATAAAAGATTCTGAACATAACTTAGTCACAAATTGACTAAACCATTAATAATCAAGTAAATTTAGATAGGAAATACAAAACTCTTCTCTTAAATATGCTTCAAATAGATCCAAATAAACGACATGATATTAACAAATTTGTTGAAGATATGAGAGGATATTCACAAAATGTCACCAGAAATCAAATTTAAAGAATTATTCTATCTAATCAAAATTAAGTAAATAATTTTATATCTGATCTTCCAATCCCTAATAACTACTCAAAATTTAAAAATCCATAAAGGTCCACCTGCACTTATAATTTACCTAAACCAGCAATACTTCAAAAAACAAATGAATAACAATAAAATTTATAGTAAGTGCAAAATTTCAATAACCAAATTCCATTTGCAAGATAAAGGGAAATAAATAATTAATCAACTAGTTCCAGAAATAGTTATAGTCTTAATTCAAGAAATAATTAATTCTAAGCCCAACCTGTAAATAATGTACAAGAAGTAAAAGGAAAATCTTAAGAAATCAATTAATTCGAATTTAATAAAAGTATGGAAATATAATAAAATTAAAATATCTGTGTTCCATAATAATTATATCCTCTCAAATAACAAGTTCCTTCAGTTCCAAGATAATTCTCACCATTTATAAATTTACAATAATCCTAAAACAAATAATCACCTTTTAATTAGAATTAATTTCAATAATAAAATTAGAAACTGTAAAATAATTATTTTTTTGAATAAAAATCTCAAAATTCTTAATAAAATCCTTAATCTAAATAAATATAAATTCAAAATGGGAATAATTAGTGTCAAAATTAGATATAAAAAATTAAACAAAATGCATTTTAAGGTAAAGCTCAATAATAAAACTATTGTTTAAATTAAAACTTTTAAAAATAAACTTGATGGTCTTGTTTCAGTAGTTAGAAAAATGATTTATAAATATAATTTATTAATATTTTTTTATTTCAATATATTATCATATAAGAGAGGATATTAAAAGATCAAAATTTGATTAAAAAAATAATCAAATAAAATATATAATTAATTATATTAGATAATCAAATAGTTGCTAAATATAAATAATTAAATTCATTATTTTATCTTACTCTATTTAATTATAATTTTTAAAGAAATTATTTTCATTTATTCTCAATTAATTATATTTCAAATTTTTTAATTACTCTATAAAACTATATGATAAGGCCAAATTTTTGCCTTTTTTGTTTTGAAAAATTGAAAGGCATTTATTAAAGATAATATTTTATTTTTCATAATATAAGCAATTACAATTAAGGATGATGTTAGGAAACTCATAAACAATATAGATTCTTTAGTTACAATCAATAAAAAAAGAATTGTTTTTTGAGTTAATGACGAAGATTATGCAGTTTTAATGATGTTGTCAAAACAGAGAGTGATTTTATTCATTTTTCATGTTTTAATATTTTTGTGTTATCTTAAATAATGGGATTTTAATATTTCAATGAATAATAATTTTAGTAATAAATTAAATTTCTATTATGGAAAGATGAAGAAAATTCAATTTGTTAAATACTTATATTTTCTGTGAATATAGAAATTATTATTATTAATTTATATATATGAGTTTAACAAAAGAAATAAAAGTAGTACTATTAGGGGATTCAGGAGTTGGAAAAAGTAGCCTTCTGTATAGGTTTGTTGAGAATGATTTTTAAGAGAAGGGTTAACCTACTTTAGGAGCAGCATTTTAAAGCAAGACAATATTAATAGATGGAAAAGCATTGAAATTTTAAATTTGGGATACTGCAGGGTAAGAGAAATATAAAGCAATATTACCCTTATATTATAGAGGTATATATTTAGTAATATTTGAGATGCAAAAGTAGCACTTTTAGTTTATGATGTAAATGATAAATAAAGTTTTGAAGGTGTGAAAGAATGGTTTAAGTAATTGTAAGAGTAAGGACCTTTAGATTAAAGTAATTATAATTTAATTGTGAAGTTAGAGTGATAATAGGCAATAAATGTGATTTAGAATAGAATGTTTCAGATGAAAATGGTAAGGAATTAGCTAAATAATATAATGCCATATATTTTAAAACTAGTTGTAAAGACAATATTGGAGTTCAAGTATTTAATCAATTTTATTAGGAAACTTTTGTATAAGTAGGAGAAAAAGTTTTTAAAGAACAGCTTGTTGAGGAAAGCAGAAAATCAAATACTGAAAATGCAAATTCTACTTTGAAGATTGGATCATAGAATCAAAACAATAAGCAATAATAAAATAAGCGTTTCTGTTGTTGAATATTATACATATAGTCCAATATTATATAGTGATTTATTAAATTTAATTATTTATTTTTTATAATTGAAAATTAGAAAGATAAAAAATATATGAAGCTGTTATGTAATATTAGGTATATTGTTATATACTCATTAGCTTAAATCGGTATCACCAGCAGCAACTCTCATGGCGATGTATTCTTTCAAGTCTCTCATGTTGGTGTTCAAATGACCAATCAAGTCAGAAACAGTTTATCTGTCTCCATCTCTGGCTGATCTTCTTTATTAGTATTCATAAGCAGCTTATTAGCATTCAGCTCTTCTGTCATCTCTTTATTAGGTCTTGGCTTCATGTCTAGCAGAGTTGTCATCTTATGCACTGTGAGTAGCAGCAAGTTAGTCAGCCAATGATTAGATTTCAGCTTCTAAGTTAGCAATAGCTGAGTTGAGTTTGTTCATGTCTCTGTTTAAGAGTGAGCTGTAAGCATCGAAGGCTTATCTTCTTGAATCTTCAGTCTTTCTGGCCAAATCGAAAGCTTATTATAATTAGTTTTATAAGTCATCGATCAATTAGATGATTCTTCCTGTTAATTCTTAGTTGGCATATTATTAAGCTTTGACAGCCAATTAAGCCATAAGTTTGATGGCTTTTCCGAAGGTTCTGATGTGTTTCATTTATCCGGCTTTGTGAGCAGCAGCATTCAAATGTGAAGCGACTTAAGCAAAGACTTATGGGGTATAGTGAACAGCTTCGCTAGATCCCTTTTATAAGAAAGCTGGAGCTTATAAGTTATCTGTGAAGAGTCTTCTTGCTTCAGCGAGGACGCTTGAGACGAATGTGAATTCTTCTCTTTAATCTTCAAAATCTTAGTTTTCTTCTTATCTCTTGGCTGTGGCTTCATCAATAACTTATTAAAGGAGGGCCTTTTCAGCTAATTTGGCAACTCTTTATCCGACCTTTTAGTCATGGACTGGTTGGAGTTCGTCAAGTTTAGCTTATAATTCTGTGTCTCTTTATTCAAGGTTAGCGAGTTCTTAGTTGAGTCCAGCAAGATCAGCATCACAAACACCTTAGAATGCCTTGTTTTCAGCATCATCTTCTCTTTAATCGTTTTAGTATCTTTCTTCCAAATCATAAAGGGTTTAGAAGATTCTTTCAAGTGGTTCACCTGTTTGCATTTGGATAGCAATTGTGTTCAACAATGTCTTTCCAAGCTTGCTCTTTTCAAGTTTTTCAAAGGCAGCTAAGTTTGTAGCGAAGGCTGTGGCAACCAAAACCAAAATGACGATTGATTTCATTTTAATAATGAAAATGAATTTGCAATTGTCCTCCTTTTATAACAAGGAATTATTTAAAAACGGATTTTTTTATCATCAAAATAATTATATTTCACTTTTATAACGAATCTAATATCTCTAAATAATCTTTGTACATATATCTATATTACACTAAACATCAATTAGGATAGTTTTTTTAAACTTAAGTATGATAATCATAATTTTATACAGTTGATTTAGAAAAAATATTCTAAATATAGATTTAGTTTCATTTAATGATTACTTATGAATATTAATATCATATTAACTATTCAATCTAATTATTTTTATTCAAACAATGATATGACTTTATATAAAATGCTAGATATAGTTTCAATTTAATTTACATAGATTATTTATATATAACGTTATAGAGTGAAATCTCATAATTTAATTTAAATATAGTATTATTAAGATGATAAGGTTTAGAATATATGTAAATTATAATTGAATGAGATTATTTATAATTTTTATTCCTTTATTAAATTATTTATTATTTTAGTATTATAATAAGTAATAAACATCAAATATAATCTTAACAGAGAGCAATTTAGATAAATTAATTAAATATATTATGATTTTATTAGTCTATTTTACTAATTATGAATTAATACTAAATATTATGGAATATAAAAATATAAACAATACTATATATTTTATTCAATTATATTTAATAATAATCAACTAATGATATTATCTAATGAATTCGAAATCTCTAATCTAATCTAATCTAATCTAATCATATATAGATATATAATTAGAGTATCAAAGTTAAGATAGTTGATTTTAATAGTAAAATTGTTCCACTTATTTTATTTTTCTTTGTATAAAAATAATTTTATAGATAATTATCTAAAAATCATAATGAAATTTCTTATCAAATACAATCCGTTATTCAAATAAAAGCGAAAAAGCTTTGATTTAAAATGCATTTGAGTCTTTCTTTAAGGCAATAGGAATTCGATATAAGATAATAATATATTTTGAAGTGACACTTAGAATGAGGAAGAGATATATTGTCATTGAAATAATAAGTATAGTTATGAGTCGTTATTTTCATATGAAATATTGTATAGTGTTTACACAAATATAATATTATCATTTTTACTCAATCATCATATTCAAAACTATTTTTTCTTGGCTCTTTATTTTCATTCTCTAAGTCGAAGAATTAATTTGTATCCATTAAATTCTATTCATCCGACTATTTTTTATGTTCTTTTATGATTCTTCGGATTACTCCCATTTTACAATTCATAAATTAATTAATATCAACTACTCTATATGTTAAATTGTTTACTTATTTTCTCTGCTTTTTTTAAGCAATAATAATAATCTTCTAGAGTTTTTCTTGATACACCTACAATATCAGCAGCTTGGTCGAGAGTATATTTGATCATTTTTCCATCTTAAAAGTGTCTTTATTCAAAAATAGATCTATTGATACAATAAAACGAATACCTCCATTAATCAACCAAAAATTTGGCTTCATATACAAACCTTTCTTTTATTCTCTTTTACAATTAGTGCTATTATTAATTTTCAATATTCATTTATTTAGATAATTAATAAAATAAATGATAAAAGAAAATGATAGATATAACGAAGATAGCAAATAATCTATTTAAAATTATAAAGATTCCACCGAATATGAAATGATTATAATAGAGTAATAAAATTAGATTGAAATACTTAATGATAAGTTATTTGAAAATAGTCTTGCAAATTTAGAACTAAAATAGAAAATTAACAAACTTGAAATGCTAGAGCAAGAACAAGAAGGCAAAATCAAATAATTAAATACTAAAATCTAAAATGATTGAACTATTTAGAGAATTAATAAATGAAGCTTAAAATAATAAAAGAAATATATATTTAAAAGAAATAAATAGAATTAAAAAATCGACATATCAAATACTTCAAAAATTTGTAAAACATCAAATCTATGATGAAAATGATGAAAACCATAATAATTATGAGTCAAATATTGAAAATATTATTGAAGAGTTTATTCTTTCATAAAAATGCTAAATTAATTAAATAAGTAAATAAATTGAGTAAATTTTAAAACAATAAAATATTGTGATTTAAAACAATGAGTATAATACATTGGAATAATATTTAAAAGATGTGGTGATCTAAATAAAACATAAATATGAATGTGATTTAGAGTAAATTTTAATTGTAAATTAGTATAAATAAATCTAGTTACTATCAAACTAATATATATAAAGAAGAATTAAAACGTTTATAATTAGCATTCAATTTATTTATAAATGATTCTGTTTTAATGATAAACAATTAATTAAATTAAAAGCATTCATTTTGTAAATTACAAAAATCAATAAGTATATTTTATAGAATATTGAGGATAATAAAAATTATTATACAGAAATTAAAACTATGTTGAATAGTATCACTAAAAATCAGGATTAATTTGAAATAAATTTGTAATAGTTATCAGAAGTTTTTAAAAAAATAATCTAATTGGTTGTTTTAATGATAATATTTTTATATTTATAATAATGAATGAAAGAGATATCCTTATTGATGTATTTTTTATAATTTATTTTTTAAGGTGAATGCTCCATCTCATAACCCTTTAATCCATAAAATTGCCAAAAATACTGAATATACAGTAAAAAAAGCCATGATAAGTGCAAATGCAGTAGTTGAAGGAGGTAATAAGAATCCTTCTTTGCCTGATGAAATTCTTACTATTTAAGAAAATTAAATGAGATTTTTAATAATGCTGGCAACTCTATAGTTTTTTACTTTATTANTTTTCAATATTCATTTATTTAGATAATTAATAAAATAAATGATAAAAGAAAATGATAGATATAACGAAGATAGCAAATAATCTATTTAAAATTATAAAGATTCCACCGAATATGAAATGATTATAATAGAGTAATAAAATTAGATTGAAATACTTAATGATAAGTTATTTGAAAATAGTCTTGCAAATTTAGAACTAAAATAGAAAATTAACAAACTTGAAATGCTAGAGCAAGAACAAGAAGGCAAAATCAAATAATTAAATACTAAAATCTAAAATGATTGAACTATTTAGAGAATTAATAAATGAAGCTTAAAATAATAAAAGAAATATATATTTAAAAGAAATAAATAGAATTAAAAAATCGACATATCAAATACTTCAAAAATTTGTAAAACATCAAATCTATGATGAAAATGATGAAAACCATAATAATTATGAGTCAAATATTGAAAATATTATTGAAGAGTTTATTCTTTCATAAAAATGCTAAATTAATTAAATAAGTAAATAAATTGAGTAAATTTTAAAACAATAAAATATTGTGATTTAAAACAATGAGTATAATACATTGGAATAATATTTAAAAGATGTGGTGATCTAAATAAAACATAAATATGAATGTGATTTAGAGTAAATTTTAATTGTAAATTAGTATAAATAAATCTAGTTACTATCAAACTAATATATATAAAGAAGAATTAAAACGTTTATAATTAGCATTCAATTTATTTATAAATGATTCTGTTTTAATGATAAACAATTAATTAAATTAAAAGCATTCATTTTGTAAATTACAAAAATCAATAAGTATATTTTATAGAATATTGAGGATAATAAAAATTATTATACAGAAATTAAAACTATGTTGAATAGTATCACTAAAAATCAGGATTAATTTGAAATAAATTTGTAATAGTTATCAGAAGTTTTTAAAAAAATAATCTAATTGGTTGTTTTAATGATAATATTTTTATATTTATAATAATGAATGAAAGAGATATCCTTATTGATGTATTTTTTATAATTTATTTTTTAAGGTGAATGCTCCATCTCATAACCCTTTAATCCATAAAATTGCCAAAAATACTGAATATACAGTAAAAAAAGCCATGATAAGTGCAAATGCAGTAGTTGAAGGAGGTAATAAGAATCCTTCTTTGCCTGATGAAATTCTTACTATTTAAGAAAATTAAATGAGATTTTTAATAATGCTGGCAACTCTATAGTTTTTTACTTTATTAGTTATAGGAATATTTTTGGTCATAGAATTGTTTACTATTTATGAGGAAATATCGATTATTGTTTTATTAGTATTATTAGTAATTTATGTAATAACTTTGGTGGTTGGATAATTCGAATAGGATATTACATAAACATTTCCTAAAAATATTATATTGTTTGTATGAGATAGTTATTAATATTATTGTATAGATGATTAATTCATTATCTAGAATATTTTGGATAGCATATTTAGTAGTTTTGATTGATTTCATAAGATTTGAATTGATTTAATTATTAATATTCATAAATTTACTTTTGATGATAATCTTTTTTCATGTTGATAGGAAATCAAACATTAAAAACTGTTTTTTAATTAAAAATTAATTATTAAGGTAATTTCATATATATAATTATATTAGGATAAGTATTGTAATTATAATAGAATTTGGAGGAGTATATTCAGTCTTATTATTTGATAATTTTGAAACTGGAATTCTTTGGTAATTTATTAAATAATTAGGTTATTGATAATCATTTGTATTTATTTATGGATGCAATTGGAAATTTAATTAATTGAATTTCGAAAATAATTATATAAAAATGATAATATTTGGTATTTTGCAGCTATAATTTTTGATGGAGATTTAATATTTCCTTGTTTTTTTGTAAATAAATAATTGCTAAATGAAGAATTTGATAGTATTTTAATATGATATATATTTTATTTATTGAAAATATCTAGGTTTCTGTGAAAATATAAAATAAAAGTAATATTTTATTAATAAATTTAATTATGGGAGAGATAAGAGAATAATTAAATAATCTATCATAAAGGGATATTGCTGAAAGATTATAATTTCTTACAGATCATTAAAGATCAGACTTTAAAAAAATGATGGGGAAAGTGTTATTATTCCAATTCCAATAAGATGAATATGATAAAAAACAATGGAACAAACTTTAATATTAAATATTGTTATCAGTACCATTGGTTTTAAGTGCAAGATTAGTTAGTGAATATCTTAATGCTAATGTTGAATTTTCAAAGCTCAAACCAACATTATGGATCAAATTCTTAAGAGCCATGGCTTATAAAAAAGGCATAGGATTGGGTACAGCTCTTTTAGTCATTCCAATTCATAAAACTATTGAATATAGTCGTAAATTAGGCTACAAACATTATATTCTTTCTTAAATTAAAGAAGAATGACAGTTAATTATTATTTATGTTTTTAAATTGTTATCAATCCCCAATTTTTGAAGTCTATAATTCAAAAGATGCTAAGAATTCTAATGGAAATAAAGAAAAACTTAAACATTACTCTAAATTGATAGATCTTTAATCTTCTGTTTATGAATATAACTCAGTCTTAAAAAGTAAAGATTAAATTCATTACAGCATACCTATTAATGACAAAATAAGTTAAATTGCCGCATGGAAAGGATTCTGAATTATCTTTAGTTCATCCTATTATAGGAATTCAAGGATAATTTAAAGATTCTATACATCTTGAATTATTTGTAGTTGATACTAAATCTACAAGAAGAAGAATAATTTTGAATTCTTTAAAAAAAAGTGAATGTAAACCATTTTTTATCTCTTATCCCTTATAATCATAGTCAATCTATAATAATTGGGTGACCATATTAATTAATATGCCTTCATTTATATCCTAATTCAAAGGATCTAGTTATAGAAGTTTGGAATCAATATTAATTTAGAGTTCTTGTTATATAAGAAGAATTTTTACTATGCAAAATTATAATGAATAATTATTGTCATAGTTTTAATTCCCAATTGAATCTAATCCTAAAAGTTATTTGATTTCATTTTAAAATGAATAAGAATTATTTGTAGATAATAATCAAGAATAATAATTGAATGCTAATGCACTTAAATAAGCTAAACTTAAATAGATATAATATGATATTCCTAAAGTATAAAAGTTAACTTTAAACCCATAAAAAATTCAAGAACATTAATATAAGAATAGCTCAACTGAATGTGAAACAAAAATAAAGAGTAAATTATAGAAATAAGAAAAATAAAATAAAGAAAATGAATTTTTAGATATATCTTTAAATGTTGATAAAAAATAAAAGATTTTGGAGAATGATGAAATTGATTTAAAAAATATTGATGAATTAATTAAAATTATAGAATAAGATAACAATTAATAAAAAACAAAAGAAATTGTAAAAAATAAAGAATAAAATGAAGAAGGAGATTTACTTAATATTATTAATGCAATTAATGCTATTGAAAACTAAGGAAGTTCTAAATAGGAAATTACAATAAAAAATCCAATCGGATGTACTACGATTACAAAATAAGGAAATACCACATTAATATTAGAGAATAGGAAGGAATAAGAAAACTTTGTAAAAATAATATATGACCCAATATTAAACTGTTATTTTGATCCAACCACAAACAAATGTTATGTATGATTTTAAGTATTTTTTAATTTACATATATTTAATAAATGATTTATTTTTAATATTTAAGAAATTTAAGATGAAATCAATAAAGAAAAAGAAAGTATCATAATTTTTTTGTTTATAAATTAAAAATCATATTAACCACTTAATGTTTTGAACTTTTTGATAAAGAATTCTTAATCTTGAAGAGATAGCATATAGAAGTATATTATGATAATAAGATAAATAAAAGAAAAATAAAAACTCATCAATTATGTCTTCTACTTAATTTATTTTTTAATGTTTCATCTGCATCTGATATTTATAACATTGTTATTAATAATCTGGTGTGATCTTCAAACTCTGTGTCCTCTTTTTGATTAATAACTTTAGGTTTTATAGTGAGAATATTTTTATCTAATTGACTCAAACTAATTTTTTATTTGATTAGATTACTTTCGCTTTCTAACTTTTTTATTGAAGAGATTATCACTCATTTATTATAAATGAGAGTATATTCTATTTCTTTCTACTATTTCTTATTTGCTAATTTACATCGAAGTCTATTATAAGAGAGTCTATATTATAATAAATATATTTTTTACATTTTAATATTATTTTAATTAGTTTTTTTCATCAACTTATCTATATTTCTCTGTAATTTCTAACATTCTATATTCATTCTATCTTTTTTGTCTTTCTAAAATATCTTATTTGTCTTATTCTTTCAATTTTCTTAATTCTTATTTTAATAAAATTTTATTATTTTATTCTTCCTAAATTGATTAATTGAATTACTTTTTTTATTTTATTAAATTATTCTATCTTCTAAAACTTCTCATTTAATTATTTTAATTTCTCACTAAGAATTTAATAAATAAATATTTACTCTCTGTCTTTAAAAATATCTCCTTAATTAGATTTAATTTTCTTTTATTTTTATTTAATTTCTAATTTTTTTTCTTATTCTACATTCTAAATTGATTTTTAATTAATTTAAAAATCTTTTTCCTTTTATACCATTTTTTCTAAAAGTTAATTAATATGATCTTGTGATATCTTGTCTTTAAGTTACTTTTGTTATTTCATAATTTATTGTTCTTTTAGATTTTATTCTTTTATTTTTTCTATTTTGTTTTAAATTAATTCTTTTTATAATTTCTCACTGTTCTCTAATTTCTATTATATTTTAGCCATTTATATTTGGCAATCTAAATCAATTTATTTTTCAAATTCTTCTTTTCTCAATAAAACTTATTCCCTTTTTTTCTTTTCTTTTTAATCATCCCCTTTCATTAACATTTTACTTCTGATATCATAAGTACTTAATATTAATATACTTTTACGATAATTATGATTATATATTTTTTTATGTTTCATTATCTCTAGGTTAAGATTTACTTTCCTTTTCCTAAGTATCAATTCTTTTATTTTCAACTTTCTTAGATGAACCATATTTCTCTTTCATTTCTTATTATTTTTTCATCATAATTTAAACTATTCTTTAATCTCTTTCCTGAATTTTTTCTATTAATTCAACTCTCTTTTTGTCTTCTTCTAATTTAATTTATGCTTCTCTCTTAAATAATTATTTTAAATACTATTTTCACAATTTTATGTTTATTATATCTTTATAATTCTTTATTAAGACCACCTTCTAATTCTGCAACATCTTGACATTCCCCTAAAGCCTATGGAATCTATCCCTCAATTAAATCCTATTATTGTAAATATTATAAAGTCTTATTGTAAGCATAATCCATTTGTTTTTTTAGTCTATTGAAATATATAAACTATAAAAACATACTCTAATTAATCTATAGTAGAACCTTACTTAAGAGAAACTGATCTTTCGAGAGACTCAATTGAAGCGCATTATAATTAACGTTATCTATTTTTTTGTATGATTTCTTTTCTTTTCTAAAATATTTCATTCAATAATTCTAAAATATTATTGAACTTTACAATTAGTTTTATTAATGTAATGTTCATATCGTAGTTGAATAATTTCATCATTATAACAATCATGAGTACGAAAATGGTTAAGATCTCTATAAAAATTATAAGGCATCTTATTACTTTATTTGGAAAATGCTCATATCAATTCCTAACCTCTAACATGCTAAAACTGTTCTTGGAGAATTTGGTTTTAGAATCATTCCATTAAATACAACTTGATTAGGAGATTAAGTGATATTTGATGAATTAAGATCCAATGAACTAGCAACATCTCTCTGAGATTTCCCTTACATATATTATAAAATATTTTATTTCTTAATTAAGAAATAAATTGATTATTACAAATAGTTTCTCAAATTATGATTAATCATTATAGATTCCAATAAATCATATTAATTGACTAATTGAAAAAGAAATAAATCGAACAAAAAAAAGAAATTGTTACTTATATAATTTATAATTTTTCTCTTTATTAAAATATATTATAAATATTGATTAAGTTAAAAAATTTTACTCAAGAATTTGAATTTAGAGAATTTAGGGTATTTTATAACTATTAATTAGGTTTCTTAGTAGACTTTTTAGTATCCTATCTTAATTTAGGCATTTTTAAATTAGAGTTCTTTTCATTTGATGATATGCTGAAATCACTTAAAATAATTTCCTAAATATCATTTTCTTAAGGAACATTTTTCATTAAAAACTCTGTTAGTTTCTTTAGTAAACATTGTTTAAGGAGTTCTAAATTAATTTATTTTTTAGATGAAGGTGTCTCCTGTTCTTAATCAAATTCTTTCACCATTTTTTTCACATGCGGATTTTATAAATGTTCTATAGGTTCCCATGTGTTTTATGAATGTGGATAGCCCTTCCATTTAATTTAATATAGATAGGATTTAGTTAGTTCATCATATCTCTTATCTACAATAGATTCAACCTCATATTCTTTCTTGTATGTTTTTCTCTTCATTTGGCAATTAATAATTAATTAGTATTAAGATTTAATTAATTATTCAAATTACTCTTGTGTAGTAGGGTGTTTGGGAGTTTAAAAATGAAAATATCTTAAAAATTCTATATATAACATATAATTACAAGATAATTAAGTGGAATTAAGAGAAAATGATTAGGAAATATAATAAAAGAAGATAAAATTAGTAATTAATACATGACTTAAGTTTATATACATAATGATTATTGTAATGAAATAGTGATTTATTTGAATCGATAGTATTTTGATAAAATAATAATAATAATAATGATGTCATTATTAATCGCAGGATTTGTCATAGGAACAGTTTATGCTGTTAACCCTATTACTGATAAAGTTGTATTTCCAGGATGGGGAGATTATAATTTTAGTTCTTATTCAGGATATCTACCAGTTGGAACAGGATTAAGGTATGATGAATAATAATGTAGATAATTGCACTATGTTTTTCTTGAAAGTCAAAGTAATCCCTCAAGTGATCCTGTTGTATTATGGTTGAATGGTGGTCCTGGATGTTCTTCATTGTTAGGATTAAATGAAGAAATAGGCCCATTTGTAATGGTTGATGAGGATAGGAAATTCAAGAAGAATCCTTATCCATGGAATGCTAGAGCTAATATGTTATTCATAGAATCACCAGCAGGAGTTGGATTCTCAATTAATAAGGATACTTCATATGAATATAATGATGAGAATTCTGGTCAAGACAACTACTAAGCTATATTGGCTTGGTTTTAAGCATTCTCATAATTTTAAAGAAATAGATTCTTCATTGCAGGAGAATCTTATGCAGGTATACTAAATATAATAATCTATAGGAATGTATATTCCATATACAGCTAAAGCTATTGTGAATGGAAATTAATAAGCCTCATTAAAAATACCTTTAGAAGGTATCTTGATTGGAAATGGTTTGTTGGTATCTGACCCATAGAAAAGATGGTCAGCATTACAAGAGTATTTCCTTAGAAGAAATTTCATGCCTCCCACTGCTACAAATACAATAAGATAAATATGTAGTGTGAAACCAGATTCAATTAAGTGTTTATTAGCTTAAACTCAATTTGAAGAAATCTGCTTGGGATCCAACATTAATATTTATAATGTTTATGGATATTGCAAAGATGATACAACACCTGACTTTTTAAAATAAAAAACTAAATCAGGAAAATAGGTCAGATATCCTTATGTATCATGGTATGAAGGAAACAATTTCTAAAAGGTAGGTAATAGTGGTGCTCCTTGTTCTGATTTTGGACCAATTACAGAATACTATAATAATGCTGAAGTTTAAGAAGCATTGCACATCTTAGAAAGACCTTAATTTTGGTCTGCTTGCAATATGGAAATCAATGAAGCTTACTCAATTAATAAAAATGGAAGTTATTAAATATTACCTTTCTTAAGCGATTCAGGAGTCAGAATTTTAATATACTCTGGTGATTAGGATGCTATTGTTAGTGTTGTAGATACTGAATAATCTATTAATATGATACCAGGTATAAAAGAATTAGATTCTTGGTCTCCATGGGGCAATAAAGATTTAGATTTGGCAGGTTGGATCACTTAATATAATTACTTAAAGTTTGTTGTTGTAAGAGGAGCTGGACATGTAACTTATTAATATTTATTTTAATTAGATGGTCCCAGAAGATTAAAGACAAAATGGCTTTGAAATGTTTGATAATTTCATTAACAATAATGAACTTCCAAAATACCATTGAATGGAGTAGTAATATTATATTAAAATTATCAAATCCACCATTTATATTATAGAATGTTTCTCTTCTATATTCTTTTACAATACTTAACTCATATATAATATATAAGAAATAAATAATAAATTATGAACACTTGCTCAACCACTGATTTTGATAAAACAGCATAGTTTTTCTTTCCAGTTTAATAAAATACTCCTTATTCTTCTTAGAAATAATAACAAAAATCTCTCTAAATTATTTGTATCGATCCCTATAAAAAAGGATTTAATAGTAATATCAAAATAAAAAGAACAAATAGTTAAATAGAACTCCCTAAATTGTAATTATACACAGAAGTTGAATCTCCTGATAATCATAAAAAATAAAGAGTCAATTTTATGAAAGATTAATTGTATACTCCAAATGCAAGTAGAGCAGAAAGATTTCCTTATACTAACATAAATAAATCAAATGAATCTAGTCCTTAAAAAATGTCTAGTTAAATAAGTTTCAATAAATAGAAGCAAAGTTAAAAATCATTTTTAAAGAGTAGACCTCAATAAAAAATAGTAACAAGAATATTTGGGGAATTATGATATTATTTATTTATTAATATTGATTAAATTAATAATCACTACTAATCATCTTTCTTAGCATCTCTAAAAATCAAATCAAATTTATTTTTATCTTAAATTTTATTAGGTAGAATAACTTGCCTATCTTTATATAATTTTATATATCTTTCTCCTATTTACTCATTATATATGTTTAATAATTTCAATATATTCTAAATATCATCATCTTCTTGTTGATTTCTATCGTAAAAGTGTCATTTGAAATGACAATAGTAAAACTAAAGTAATTAGATAAAAATAAACTCAATATTAAGAAAATTCTTAAGGTTGCATCAAATCTACAAACTAGAATTTAGAGTTAGAAAAATCACCATAAACACATTGCAATTCATAAATAGAAACAAACTATTATTGAATGTCATATTGGATTTATCATGATTTCTTCTATAAATTTTATTAGTCATTACTTATTCATCATCATATTATGGTTAAGAACTTCCAAATACTTACAAAATAAGTCGTCTTAAACCTATATTCATTATTTAACTATTTGATTTCTTTATTTTTTCAATTAAGTTTTAATTCTTCTAATTTTTTCTCAATAATATTCCTAAATGTCACTTATTTATCTCTTTTTTTAATTTATTTTGTTGGTAAAAATATAAGAGTAATATTTTCCTTATCCAATAATCCTATGATAAGCCATCATTATTTTGAATCAACAATATTTTTGAAACTTGCCTTGAATTCACCTTCAAATGCTCCATGATTATCTTTTAATTCTTTTTTTATATATAGTCTATATGTAATAGAAATTATACTTTTTTGTTATTTCCTTTTTCTCAAACAATTTTTCAATGAGTTTGTCATACAGGAAGTGATTTTGAATCTTCTCCAATTTTTATTAAGACATTTTTAATAATATGTATTTGTTGTATTATACATAATATATGAACAAATCCAATAGTAATTTCTTAATTGCTCGAGCCTGTAGGTATTCTCTATAAAATATAATAAATAATAAAATTAAATGTTGCAAGATAATGTGATTCATAACTTCAATTTATCTTTTGGACCTAAATAATAAACATCAAATGCTAAAGTATGTTATAAAGAAACTCCTGAATCTAACATATCACTATAATCAGAAGAATTGTTATCTCCCTTTAGAGATAACTCTCCTTAAAATTGGTAAAGAAAGAAGATTACATACTAAAATTCTTTCAATACATTAGATAAATAACATATTTTATAATTGCAATAAACATTAAGACCAAAAGCTCAAACTTCTTAAATTGTTAAATTTTTAAAAGTGACAAAAACTATGGGAATTGTGTAAAGATTTAAGTCCAATCTATTCTTAAATGCTTATATACTTCCAAAGAGATTATAGGAATAATTTAAAAAACAAGAAAAGTATACAAACACTGTTGTTTAGAATGATTCAAAAAGTATAATCGTTTTTCAATTTTATAGAAAGAAACCTACAAAGTAAATAAATCCCTCTTATTTCACCATCAAGTCCAATATCATAAATCTTTGACATGCTTAGCATCATTGTTCAATTAATTGCTTTATGGATTATATCCATTATGGCTGTATTTACTAATGTAGATGATAATCAAGCTCAAATTATTCTATTTATAATAGTTTTTCTTGTTTTTGAACTTATTTTCTTACTCAATAGAGCAATCATAATTTAAGGTCTAATAATAGAAGATCGATCAATTATATTTTAAAATTTTGTTAAACAATCATCTTTTTTATATTCATTAGAAATCATAATATGTGTTTACATATAATTTAATAAGAACTTTTTATAATAATAAGGGGCTTTCTTATTAGTTATATTATTGGCTGTAATAATAGGAAGGATATTATAATAATATGATAATTTAATAGATACATTATATTAATTATCAATACCAAGTGATTTATTAGATCTAATTACTTTAATTATTTCAATATATTATTTTGCTCATTTTATAGCATGTTGTTGGTTATATTGTGGATTACTTTAAGAAGATAATGGATCTTGGATAACTTATTATGAATTATCAAATCAAAATATATGGATTAAATATAGTACATCATTTTATTGGGCAACTATGACAATGGTTACTGTTGGATATGGTGATATAACACCAAAAAATTAGACAGAAATGATTTTTTGTGATATTGCTATGTTTTTATCAAGTTGTGTTTTTGCATATTCTATGAATTCAATTGGTATTATACTCAAAAATATTAATGATAAAAAGGTTAATTATAAGTATATTATTATTATAATATAATTAGAAAGAGAGCCATCATTCTTAATTAGTATATGAAAAAGAATGATATATCGAATCATATCTAAGACAAAGTTAGAAATTATTTAAAATATCAAATTGAGAATGAATATAATGAAATTTAAAAAGATGCTATTAAAATATTAAAATAATTACCAAAAGGAATTGAATAAGAAATATCTTAAAATATTAACAATAGAATATTGTAAAAAATTAAAGTTTTTGATTAATTTACTAAATGGACTAAATCAGAATTGATTGATAAAATTGAATTAGTTAGTTATACTCCTGGAGAATATATTTATCATTAAGATACTAATCAAAATATTGAAATGTAATAATTTATATATTATTATTATTAATAGATATTATGTTTATTAAGGTTCTGTAGATATTGTAGAAGAATAAAGTTAATAGAATATTTAATAGTTGAAATAAGGAGAAGTGTTTGGTGAGTTTCAATTTTTTACTGGTTTCAATCCAAAAACATCAGCTATAAGTAATGGTTTTTCAATTATTGCTAAGATTAAGAGAGAAACATTTATTAAGATATTGTAAGATGTAAAAAAAGATTAGGAAAAATTTCATTAAATCAAAGATAAAATATTATTATACAATGATTATAGTGATCTTATGATCAGTTGTAAATTTTGTAAAAAGATTTCACATATTTTTTATTTATGTCCTATGTTAACATATCAACCAGATATGGAATCTAGATTAAAAAAAGAAGAATTGTATCCCGAATAATAAGATAGATAACCATTCAAAAGAGGAATTCTTAGAAAAAAGAATTCATTGTTATTGCAAAAGGAGACTTTTGATAATATTAAGGAATATTAAGAAATTAATGGAATAGATTAAATAGAAGATAATTTATAAAGTGAAATTTAAACTAATTCACTTAATGAAGAATAATTCTATCCTATTAATGAAAATTAATAAAGTATGAAAAATATAAATTTGATACCCAAAAATTCATAAATGATGACAAGAACTTCAAGATTATCAATTAATCAAAATCATTTTGGATTTTGTAGGTAATCTATTGCTTAAACTTCAAAGGACAAATACAATATAAAAATAAATTAAAATCAATTAACAATATCTAATCATAATAGTCCACCAAAGAATATAAATGAATCAAAAAATATAATGAAATGGAATATGTTAGATAGTTTCATAGATTAATTATAATTTCATTATTTGGATATAGATTCTATTTAAGAATATGAAATATATATGAAACATAATAATTTTAAATAAGTGATTAAAGAATTAAATTAAAAACCTAAATATATTCGAAAGTTATTAAAATTATAAAAATATACCTTTAATTATTATGTGAAAGTGATGGCTATTAAAATTAGAGAATATTTAGATGATGATGAAATAATAGAAAATGTATTTAGTAAATCTTTAAGAAAGAATTAATGATTTTTTATTATTGTATTCCAATTAAATTAAGTATTGATCTTTAATTTATAATTTTAAATAGAAAATTTAAGATAATTATTATATAAAAATATATATACTACAATTTAGTATTAATATATTCATTTTTATAATTCCATAAATCAAAAACAGAATGATAAATGAATATAAAGAATTTTATGTATTTGAAATTTAATATTAATAAATTATTATTATATTCTAATTTCTTGATTTATTATCGTTAATAAAGTATTATATATATATATATTTTTAATAAGCAATTTAAATTTGAATAAAAATTAGAAATGTATTCGAATTCAGCTATTTTTATGATGGTAGAGAATATCCTAATATTTGTATGTTATATGATGATTAAGAAAAAAATGCCTATAAAATAAACACCAATCAATTATAGTTAAAGTACAATATGTTGTGATTGATTAGACAAAAAACAATTTTGGGAATAAGTCTTAAAAGATTAATAGATTACAGATTTGCCATAGTTTAATGAATAGGATAATGAATAATAATCAATTTCCACACCAAGAAATGAACACATCATTTAATAATTTTGGTTTCTTTAAAAGTTCTTTCTTTAGTATACTCTTTTAAATTATACTCATTTATTTCATTTTGTGACTTTTTTCAAAAAAGAATGGCAATTATTTCCTTGTAGAAACTAATAATTTCATTGGAATTTATTATTGTTACCACTTATATTTTATTAATTATCAGCTTATGTTTCATTTAAGATATAAAATATGGGATTATTTATTATAGGATTAGTTATTTTTAGTAGTTTAAATTTAATGATTAGTATATTTTATAGACCTAAATAAAATCTTGATTAACATATGCATGAAACCTGTCTAAAACTTGAAAAAATAAGAGAATTATTTAAATAAAATAAATAAACTAATTAAGAAGTAAATGAAGAAATAAATAAATAAAGTGAAGAATAATAATAAGAATTTATAGGTAATATAATTAAAACTACTTAAAATTATTATCCTAATCTCATATCATATAATAATTTATTATTACATAATATTTAACCAAAATGGTGTTTAACATTTTTTGGTCTAAGTTTTTTATTGTCATTTTAAATTTATGATATTTATTGGGAATTTACATTTAGTTGGTTATATGGATTATTATTAGAATAATTGATAAGATTTTCATTCTGTTTTATTTATTCTAAAAAATTAACTTAAAAATGGATTTTATAAGGACCTGATTAAGTTTATACAGAAATGTAAATTTTAGCAGAATTTTATAAACCTTTAATGTTGATATCTAAAAGTCCATAGAAATATATTATGAATGATACTCATGTTAATATTAGTGGAATGAGTAAAGATCAATCAAATTTAAATATTCTTAATCATAATTCTACTCATGATTTAATTTAAAATAAACATTAAATTCTTAGAATAACATCTGCTAATCTTGGAACTATAGAAGATACTAAATTAGATATAACTGAAAATGTAAAAGAATTACCAATTTTAGATTCAGATTAAGCACTTGATACAGAATAAAATAACAATAAATAAAATTTAAATTAATAAACTGAAATGGATACATAACCAGAAGATATTTAATTTAAAAAAAAGAAGGTTTAAAGAGTTAAATTAGAAGCATTATATCATTCTAAAGTAACAAACAGATCTCCTAAACCAAATTTACCTAAACCTCAATTTTATTCAAGTTAGAAAAATAAATAAAATTAAGAAGAATAAAATAAATTATAAGAATAAGAGATCTTTATATAGAATCAAGATTTTGATGAAAATCAAAAAGAAAATATTAATTATGAATTTATTTAATTTAAAGAAGATATTAATAGTCCACCTCCTTAATTTAATCCTATTGATTTCTTAAAAAATATAAGTCCAATTGGATCATAATTATCATAAAGAAATGAAATTCCACATTAATGGGAAGAACCTGATGAAGAAGAAGCATGCAATTTTAAATCTTCATTTAATTAAGATTTATAAGAAGCAGAATTTGATAGAGGAATTACTCCTAAAATTTTACCATTATAACCTAATAGTAATATTAATAATAGATCTCCTGTTAATTAATCATTAGGTAGTGGTGTAGGAAGTAAATTTGGAACTGGAAGCAAAGTAGGAACTGTAGCAAGAAGAAACAATAGTTAAAAGACATCTAAAGAGGAAGAAGAAAAATCATATAAAGAATCTAAAAGAATTAGAGTAAATACAAGAAATGGTAAAGAATCTCCAGATAGAAAGAATAAAAAAAATGGAAAACTTAGAGGAGAATCAATGAAAGTTAGAGGAAATAGAAAAGAAGATATACCAACATTAAATTTTGATAGTGCTAGATTTTAGTCTCCTTATTTAGACTTTCTTCCTGGAATGAAAGATTCTTCATAATAATAAAAAACATAACGTAAACAAAATATAAGTGCCAATAAATAGAAAATTTAATAAATTATTAAATAATATGAAAGTATTTAAACATCCAATGAACATAGAAATGTTGAGTGAAATAATTGAATATTAAATTTTATTATCATAATTTTATTACAATTTTTAATATGGAATTTAAGAAAGAATAACCTAAAGCAACATCAAAAAGATTTAAAAAGATAACTTAAAAACTTGGAATCTAATCTCTAAATAAAGAAGAAAGATTTGATGAAGGAATGAAAGACTTTTAAAATTTAGATACATTTTTCACAGTCACTGATTTACTGAAAGACATGAATAAAGAATAACCAACACCAGAGAGATAGGCATTATTTGAAAGTTAATAAACATTAATTAAAACAAAACTAAAACTTAAAAAATGGAAATCAGAATACCCAGCATATTTATAGTTTGAAGAGAAACCTCCATAAATATTATATAAAAATAAGATCGCACTATTATAAAAAGCACATTCTCATCTAAATCTTTAAAAATATGAACCTTAACTCTATAAAGAAGTTGAGAATTTATCATCATTATTAAAAGATAAATTTAAAAATGTTGATTTGAAAGAATATCCATAACTTTAATTATTTTAAGAAATAAGTCAATATGAAGAATTAAGAGTAAAAACAGAATTTAATGAAACTCTCAGAGATAGTTATCTTAAAGATAGACTTTCATTAAAATAAGAATAACCTGAATAAAAACCAATTGTTTCATATGATACATACTATAAGAATTATCATAATTAAGCTGAATAATTAAGAAATCGTCTAAGATAATAATAAATGAATTTCTTTAATTAAAAATGGGGAAATTCTGTTGTAAAAATGAAAATGAAAGAAGCATAAGATAAAAGAGGATTGTTAGAGAAAGCAAAATAAATAAGAAGACCAGCAGTCACTAAAAAAGTAGTATTACCTTATCTTGCTCCTGTGATTAAAAATATTATAACTGATATATGTTTGGAAGAAGCTGATATGATGGAATAAAAAAGAGATTTTAAAAAAGATATTAAGGAATTAGCAAAGATTGGTTCTGATTTTTATGATCCTAAACCTGAACCATAAATTATGGGATTAAGAATTGTGAATTCTTGAAAGACGATAATCTTTTTTATAATCTATTAAATATTACAATTTTATAATTAATTTAAAAAAATAACAATTATATATTTTAATATGTTTTAACTCATTTCTTTAATCTTGCTATTCTACTAATTATCTTATTGATAACAAGATCAGATTATTCGACTTAAATCCAATGACCAGTTTTAGCTGCAATAAATTCTGAATCAGCATTTTAAGATAAAGTCAATTGCCATCTAGCACTATGAAATTGAAAAGGTTTCTTCTCTCCATATATAAATACTACTGGAACAGAAGGCTTATATCTATATAAGAATTTCTTAGACTTGTTAAGAATAGAATCAAATAGTAAATTCTTTTAGAAATAGAAATATGGATAATTGATTTTTGCTGTATAATTTTGTGGAATTGGAATTCTTAAAATAAATTTCATATATAATCTAGCTAATAAAGTTCCAAAAAATTCTCCTATAATAGGTATCAATGTTAATAAGAATGCTATGGCAAATGTTATTTAGTAAGATTCTATAAGCAATCCTGATTTAAGAGACAAATCTACTTATGCTCCTACATCCAGAGCTATAATATCATCAACTGTTTATGGATATTTCTAATCATAAAGATAACCATAAAATGCTCCCCAATCATGAGTGATCAACAATTTTTTTAGATTCTATCCATTATCTACATGTTCTATAGTTGATCTAATTCTCTTAACTACTTCTGGAAAATCTAATCCAAATTTTAGATTTTAGGATTGATGATAATTTGGATATGAGATATTAAGAATTTGAACATCAGACTTCTAAATTCCTGTGATAGTTTCTAATTTAGTATTTAATATATACAATCCCATAATCGCATAGTATCTGGAAATCCATGTAAGAAAATCAGTAGAATGTTTGAGTTTTTATTTCCTGTGTGCTCATAAGGTAACAACATGCGTATTATTTTATTAATATTAATTAATATTATATTAAGAATGATCACTAAAAATAAATAATTAAATATCATAAAATTAATCAAACTGATAAAAATTTTTCCATTGATTTCAAGAATTCCATATATGATCTTTACTCTTTGTCTATAGAATAGGCTTCAATCAATGCATTCAATGATTAATTAATACCAAAACTTTCTAGGTATGTATAAAATGATTGTTTTAATTGCTATAAAATTTAAGATTATTTTAACTTCATCTAATTTATTAATTTCTGGTCCTGGATATTCTGTTAAAAATTTCTGATATTTGGATCTTGTTTTGTACTCTTGGATATCATAGACTGGTTGTACGTAATTTATGAAAGTAGTCTGGTTACCTGTAGTTCATTCCTTTCAAGTTATACTTGTATTGCATTCAAATGCTATAGCTTCTCCTTTTTCAGATTCAACTAGGACTATATAATCAACAGAAAGTGTTCCTAATTCATATACTTCTTTTCTCTCTTGAATTTTTGATTGTATTTAATCTTGGTATTTTGGATTTTAGGAGATTGATTAATCTTCCTTTGGTACTTTTCTAATTATAAAAGGATTTTTAATATTATTACATTTTGCCTTCCAAAGGAGGAGGTGTACCTCTGAATTCAATTGATATTTTTGCAGATGGAAATTCTTTTTTAAGAGTAACTTTATTAGTTTTAGGATCATCTATCAATTAAAATCCTAGATGTTTAATTTATTTCATTAATGTAGGTTCTTGTTCGTATTGATGATATTCATATTTATACTCTTTAGATACTGTTTTAAAGAGAGCTCCTCTTGCATTTGAAATATTTGAAAATCTATAGAAGGACATGAATCTTAACATTATTATAATATTTTAATTATTAACAATATGATAGATCGAAGGAGTATGAGTCCTATGGCTACAAGTTCAAGAATGGGAACTGCAAGAGCTATCTTTGATACAGGCACAGAATAAGAACCTACTAAACGATTGACAAGATCAATAAGAAATACTAGCACAGATCCATAATAAACAGACTAAAAATAATATCAAAATTAACTTACCTTAGGTATTTAAGGTTCTTATGAAATGAATTGTAAGTTATTTATTAATTTATACAGCTTCAAATTCACGTTAATTTACTTAAGAGAATTTTGAGTATCGGAAACCAGAAACGGACAATATCAATTTTAGAACAGTTTAGACTTATAAACCTTAAGAAGTAAGTGCATAGCCAACTACTTAATTTAATTACTAAAGTTTTGAATACAAAAAACCAGATGCTGGTCGAACAGGATCATACATTTAGTCAGGTACTTGAACTATTTATTATAGCTTACAATACAACATGTATTTAATATATTTATTACTCAAGTTCAAGAACCAATAGGCAATTCACTTAACTTTCAGAACAAATCACTGTATGAACCACCAAAATAAGATAATACTTTTACAAAATAGGAAATGAATTCATTCGATAAATATAAAACTACATTTGAGTAACCTAAAACTTATGATAAGTTTGAATAATACAATTTTGAACCTAAGAAGTATGATTTTAATATACCTGAATAACCAAAGGAATTACAATAATCATATAAATCCATTCCATAAGTACAACCAAATTAATCAGTTGTGTAATTCTATTTGTTTAACTTAGACAAACTTAATACACTCCATACAATCCTGATAGAATTACTTTAGATACACAACTAAATAGAACTACTTTAAACTATCCAGTTCAAAATTAATAATTAAGTGTTGGACCTAGAAAAACAGAAGAACCAATGAGGCCTTCTGAAATTTAAATTAAAACTTAAAAACCATAAGACCCTATTAAATTATAAAATCCTCCTTCAATTCATGCAGAATCAATTAAAAATGAATAAATATATAGGCCAACAACTCCAGTATATACATAATAATAATACCAATTATCAAGTTAGAAATAACCTGAATCATATTACAAGTAAGAAACAACTGATATTTTAAATAAGCCAAGTTATAGATGTATAAATTATTATTTAAAATTAGTTGAATTACCTAAGAAATTTGTTGAGGAAATAGTAATTATTGAAAATGAAGCTAATGAGCATGAATTTAATGCAGGCTGTCAGATATTTTGATATATTTGAATATTTGAATCAATAATATATATATTAAACAATTTATATTTATATATAAGGTGAATTAATAATATATAATAGAATTTGAATATATAAAATTCATTTATCCTTCAGATCTTTAAGATTTTTTTAAGATGAAAATTAATTTACAGTTATTATTATGTACTAATGATTTAACAAAAAAATGTAATGAAAATTTGATAATACAATAAAATATCCTTTTTTTGTTATCTAATTATTGAAAATATATTAATGCTTTTATAATAGATTCAATTTGAAGAGAAATAAGAAATTGAAGTATTGTCTATAAACAGTTAATATCGAAAAACTTGAATTTTTTAATATTTATAATTATATGTAATAATGTTATATAGAAGATGAATTTGATGTCGAAGATGTAAGTCCTTGGCAAGAAATTAATTTATCTCCTCAATAAACTCTTTTTAAATCCAATCAATAGTATAGAAGTTCAACAATTTATTCAGGCAAGGATGAAAAGTAAAAAGTAACAAATGCTAAAACCAGTTATTCTAATTTAACTAAATAAACAGCTGCAACAACAATAACAGATTTTCCTATAAGATGTTTAAGAAACAGAGTTAAAAGCATAAATTAAACATAGAAATAGTTTTTAATAGCAACTCCTGTAAAATAATATTGTGACTTTAAACTGTCAAAAGAATTTTTGATGAATAGGAATACTGCTGATTTTCCTAAATAAACCTTGCCAAGAAATTTCTTATCATTTTAAAGATTCAAGAAATCTTTTAGTAGAAAATAAACTATTCATTCTCAAGAAATCAATCCACAATTATTATAGCTTTAAATGTAAATGAAAAAAGTAGAAGAATAAATTTAATAATAAAAGAAATCATGTTGGGAAATAGGTGCACGTAGACTTTCTAATCCAAA